GCACAGAAGGCGCACTGCCTCTCCTCCAACTACAAGTTTGAACTCGTTGTTGATGACCCCCGCCTCATCGGCTTCGTTTCCTGGAAGCTTCTCCGCACACTTGAAGCAGGTGGGTATTAAGTCGCACATGACATCTTCCTTGGCATAAGTTTAAGTAACGCACTTCTCATTGATACCGAACAAAAGCGTAAATACCAGGCCATTCTTAGTACGTAAAAGCTCAAGTAAGTAACGCACCCATAAAAGCATAAGTAACGCAACCATAAAAGCCCATACTTAGTGCCAAGTATATAGAGTAAAACAACGTACTTGCAGTAGGTTCCAAGACAAGTGCCTGCATTCGTGCCTGCACCCATACCATCACACATGCCATTGCACATGCAATCACACATGCCACATGCCTGCAACCATGCAGTCACACATGCCTATCACCCACATGTGTGATGTGTGTGTGAGTGTGAGTGCAAGTGCGAGTGGTGCTGTTGCGCCTCCTGACCGCACAGAAAGGGGTGAGCATCCCATAAGGCAGCGGCTGGTCTCTTGCAAATCCATGTCATTGCACGCCACACTCAACAAAGTTCCTTCCACACTGTAATCCATCAAATCATCTCGACAGAGCACAAGTGTTCCTCACGCAGGCACGGCTGCACTGCACCCTGGATCCATGATGGCATGCATCCAGCACAGAATCCTTCCTCCTGATCCCCGTATCCCCACCTTCCGTATTCCCCTCTCCCACCCTCCCCCTGAACTCCCACCCCCCCTCCCCCTCCTAGGCACGGTGCCCATCTACTATGGCGCACCGGATGTGGACAACTTCATGCCGCCCAGTTCGTACATCGACGGGAGGAAGCTTCCCACGCCCGCCGAGCTGCTTGCCGCACTGCAGGAGCTGCACCTTGACCCCTGTGAGTGGCATCAGTTGCACACAGACCCTTTTTCTCTTCTACTTATGCCATGGCATTCCCATGACACATGCGATTTTCCCAGCAGCACATGCAATCCAGGGGATGTAGGTAGAGCGGAGCGGGGTGAGGAGGAGAGGAGGGAGATGGAAGAGGCTCCGTCGAGAGGAAATGGGGGGAAGAGGCAGCTCAGTTCGCCGCAATTAAAGACAATTAGGAGGCTGAATGGGATGACAGCTCCCTCAAGGCCAGCCTGAAGCTGCAGGAGCAGGAAAGGAAGCTTTAGACGTAGGAAAGAAGCTACATGAGTAAGAATAGAAGCTGCAGGAGCAAGAAAGGAAGCTGTAGGAACAGAAAAGGATGTTGCACGAGCAGGAAAGAAGCTGTAGGTTTAGGAGGAGAAGCTACGGGAACAGGAAGGGAAGCTGCAGGAGCAGGAAGTGAAGCTTCTGGAGCAGAGAGTGAAGCTTCAGCAGCGGGAAGTGAAGCTTCAGGAATTGAATGTTCAGGAGCTTCACTTCCTGCTCACTTCCTGCTCATGCAGCTTCCCATTCTGCTCCTAAAGCCTCCTTTTGTGCTCCTGCAGCTTCCCTTCCTGCTCCTAAAACTTCCCTTCCTACTTCTACAGCTTCTCTCCTGCTCTTGTAACATCCCTTTCTGCTCCTGCAGCTTCCTTTTCTGCTGTTGCAGCTTCTTTTCCCATTCCTGCAGCTTCTCTTCATGCTTCTGAAGCTTCTTTTCCTGCTCCTGCAGCTTCAGGCGGGCCTTGAGGGAGTTGTCATCTCATTCAGCCTCCTGCTTGCCTTAAGTTGCGACCAACTGAGCTGCCTCTTCCCTCCGTTCCCTCTCCCTCCTCGGAGCTTCTTCTTTCTCCCTCCCGACCCTGCATCCCCTGATTTGCATGCGGCACTCACCTGCGCCTCTGCAATCACCACACTCTCCCCCCCTGCACCTCCTCCCATCGCACCTCCAATGAATTGCATAAAGCTCTTGCATTGCGCACGTGTTGGACGTTGTTCGCGGCACTCACTGCCCTCCCCTTCCGCATCCCCCTCCCCCTCTTCAGTGAAGTACATGGACCTGTTCGCGTGGCGCACATGCGGTGTGTGGGGGCAGTACGCCCACGTGGACGCGCTGGGCTTCCGCTCGCTGCCCTGCCGCCTCTGTGAGGCTGTCAGCGCCCGCCATGGCCGCCTCTTCCACCGCCACTAGCTGCCACCGCCACTAGCTGCCACCGCCACCACCCCTAGCCCCATCTTATCGCATCACATGCACATGCATGGAACACTGAGGCCAACTCGCGTGAGCAGCTCTCAGTGTACCACACGCACATGCACGCCCCACTCGCTCTCACTCACTCTCAGTATCAACAGCGGATGGCTCTTGAGCGACACAAGGCTGTTTCTCTGATGCTGTCTTGGAAGGAGGCTGCTAGACAGTGTGGGGCGCCAACTCTAAACCCGTCTCTCCACTCCAATCTCTGCAGCCCTCCCACTGTTCTGCATGCTCCCTGCTGCCATCTCCAACCAACCACCTCAATGCTCAATCACGTCACGAGGCATGCTGGAATTGTGATCCATGACAATATTTACTTACAGGTACCTGTAGTCTGCATCACGAATGTACTGTTACCGTAGGTGGCGGTAGTCTCCATGAGGGCCTGGAATTGGTGGTGAGCCCTTGATATCTAGGATGCAAGTCAGGGTTGCTCGAACATTTGACCCATAGTAATTGTAATGAGTGGCTCGTTTACTTATTCCACTCCATTCATAAAAGCGGCACTTTTGAGCTTAGCCAGGGCAGCAGCTGCCTGAGCTCCATTCGAACAAGCAAAATAACCAGCCAAAAAAAACAAAAACAACTCCAATTCGTATGAGCCTAACCTAACAAAGAACCTTGCGTGGTTCCCTACTCAGGGCTCCGCATGCAATACACACACTACTGAAATACTCCTCAATTCCTCAACTACTGTGTCGTGGTATTGTGCCACCCCTTGATCTTGACGACTCCTCTATAGCGCGCTCAATCAAGGCGTGCAGCTGCTGTCTGCCCTCCTCTCTCAGCTGTGCACGGTAGTGTGCCTTGAGGAACATCCTCTGCACGTCCACCTGGGCGCACGGGAAGTACCAGAGGCGGATGCTGTAGCCACACTCGTACGCCACCAGCTGCTTCCCGCGCTGGTACCCCGCGTCCAGCCCCACCTCCCTGTGCCACCCGCACCGCCCCTTGTCAACCTCCTCCTCCTCCCCCTCCTGCTCGCTCTCTCCCCCATCATCATCATCATCATCGTCGTGTATCTCAGGCAGTTCAGCCATGCCCACTGTCCTCTCCCGACCCTGCTGTTCCTGCTCCTTCCCCAGCCCCTCCTGCCCCTCATGCCCTTCCTGCCCCTCCTGCCCATCCTGCCCCTCTTTCTCGACCTGCTGTTCCGCCAGCTTGGCTTGCTGCTGCGCCTGTTGAGCCTGCAGCTGCCACAGCCGCAAGTGTTTCTTTCTGAACTTGCCCGACCCGCACACGCGAGTGAGCAGCTCCATCTTGTTGTCCTGCCCGTACGCCATGCCTGCCACGTGGGGCGCACAGGAGGGGGAGCAGATGAGAATGCTGTCCCAGGAGCTGCATCTTGCTGTTCAGGTCATACGCCATGCCGGGCGAGTAGGGAGGAGCGGAGATACGAATGTGACTTTAATGAAAGCAGTTCAGGAGAGCCAAGTTGCAGCCCATGATGCACACCGTGCTTGCCCAGCAGGGCCAGTTGGGCAGGGAGCACCAGGGCCGAGCGGGCTAGTAGTTGAAGCTGGATGTGGGAGTGAGACGGGGAGCACGAGAAGGGAAATACGGAAATCAACCAGTTCAACAGCTACTCGTGGGAAGACCACTGAGCAAATGCCACCTGGCTCGTGTGCAAGTGGGGACTAACATAAAGCCCTACGACTTAGAAAGACATGCCGCAGGCCACACCCACCCGGCTGGTAGCGGTAGGGCGCATCAGTGCGGAAGGCGACTTGGCTCTCGTGCAGGTGGGGGGCAAAGCGACGCAGATGGATGAAGAGCGAGGAGGCGTTGAGCCACGTGGGGGACTGCTGCTGGTGCACCCTGTACATGGGCACCTGGTGGGGGGGGGGGGGGGGGGGCGGATAGACACACACACACACACACACACACACACACACACACACCCCACACACACACACACACACACACACCCACACACACACACACACACACACACACACACAAGCACACACACACGCACGCACGCACGCACACACACATGGGCCAGTGAATTGCACATCATAGCATGGCCAAGGGGCAAAGGGATGGGGTGCACACACACAGAGCAATGCATATCACATCAGAGCACACAACATGTCAAAGCACGCACAGCCAAGGGGCAAGGGCATGGGATGGGATTGTTGGGCATGGAGTGGAACGCAGAAGAGCCTCTTGACGTACAGACTGCTGCTAGAAGATTATTCACGCACCTGCTGCCTGCTGCCCCCCCCTCCAAACCTTTTGTGCCTTATGAGATCCAACCCACCTTGAACACCTTAAAGGCCTTGTGCTCGTGCCTGTCAGCCGCCTGCACAATGAGGCGCCACGCCTCGGCGGTGAGGAACTGGTTGCCGTCCAAGGTTGACACCCACTGCGCGCCCTCCCTGCACTGCTGTGAGCCCTCTCAACGCACCTTGAACACCTTAAAGCCCCTCTGCTCGTGCCTGTCAGCGGCCTGCACTATCAACCGCCATGCCTCGGCGGTGAGGAACTGGTTGCCATCAAAGGCAAGCACCCACTGCGCGCCCTCCGTGCGCCCATGCTCCAACATGAAGTTGCGCGCCTCGTTCTGCGCTGGGGGGGGGGGGGTGTTGATGGAGGGATGCAATGGCAGGAACCGGGGGGATGGGGGTGTGTGGGGGGGTTGATGAGGATGAATGAGGCATGGGTGATGTGCGAGGGCAGAATGCATATGGGCCGTGGGTGCAGGGCCTTGCGGCATGACATATTCGTATCGGATGGAGAACGGGCACATAGAGGGGATGGGCAGGGCGGGGCAGGGGAGGTAGGGATTGTGGCCAGAAGGCGAAAGGATCCGTGTGAGGAGCAGTGCTGTGTACGACACTCGAATCCAGCTGTCAAGGACTCATGTGGAGCTCCAGCCTGCCATCATGCACCGTGATAAGGAAAGAACGCAGCAAGCTTTGAGTGGCATGCTTCACTACACGTGTGCACATGCGATTGAGAGAAGACAGGGCATGGGAGAAGACAGGGCATGGGAGAAGACAGGGCATGGGAGAAAGGCGCGCACCAGTGACAGCGGTGGTCCAGAGGGACGGGTCGAGCGTGGCGATGAGCGAGAGGTTGAGCGGCCGCATTAGAATGTCCTGATGGGAGGCGCGGGGCCATGTGAGGGAGGTTGGAGCGTATTGAAGGCATGGGTGTGACTCGTTTAGACAGGAGCAGTGGAGGGGATATGCCAAGATGGGGTGGTGGAGGGTGAGAGGGATGTCAGTGTGGGTGCGATAAGCACACACGGCACGAGGCATTGTGTGATGAGATGGAGTGCATGGCACACATTGGAATCGTAGACATTGTACACGGCTCATGAACCAGCACGTGCCAGCCTTCATGCCTCCCCTCTCATCCACCACATGCCCATGCTCACCACAACCCCATGCCCATGCGCGTCACCACCCACAGCAGCTACCCAACCTTCCTACGCCCCCTCCCTCTCTCATCCCCCTCCTGGCATCTCGTCCTTGACCCCGTGCACGCGCATGGCGGCCACCAGCTCAGCCAGCGCAGTGCTGTTCACCACGCGGTTCAGCACCCACAGGCGCCGCGCTTGCTCCAGCAGGGGCGGCTAAGCCACACCACATGACACGCATGTCAAGCGCACAGCACAGCATGACATACCTCGTCCTTCTCCCTGTGGGCGCGCATGGCTTCAACCAGCACGGCGAGTGCAGTGCCGCTCACCATGTGGTTGAGCACCCACAGGCGCCGCGCGTGCTGCAGGTGCGCCCTCCCTTGGCTCACCCCATACACACACCTCGTCCTTGACCCCATGAGCCCGCATGGCTTCAACCAGGTCAGCCAGTGCAGTGCCGTTCACCACGTGGTTCAGCACCCACAGGCGCCGCGCCTGCTGCAGGTGTGCTGGCTCGTGCTGCAGCGCGTAGAGCGTGTTGCGCTGCAGCTGCTGCGCGCACTGCAGCGGCGGCATGTCGTTGCCCACCAGCCGGTAGATGAAGAAGCGCGCCGGTGCAGGGGTGGGGGGGACAGGTGGGGTGGAGAGGGGCGAAGAGGAGGGTGGGGAGAGGGGGGTTGACGATGGAGTGGGAAGCGTGGGGGAGGGATGGAGGGAGGAGGGTGGGAAGGGGGAGGACGGGGCGGGGTGGGGAGGAGGGGAGAATGGAGGAGAGGAGGGAGGGGATGGGGGATGGAGGGAGGGGGAGGGTGGTGGCAAGGAGGGAGGCAGAGAGGGAGGAAGAAGCGAGGGGGTGGAGTGTGGGGCGGTGAGAGTGGTTGAGGGGCGGGCGGGAGTGTGCCAGGTGATGTGGGCCGCACTGCCTCCGCGCCCTCTCCGCCCTCCGCGCCCTCTCCGCCCTCCGCGCCCTCTCCGCCCTCCGCGCCCTCTCCGCCCTCCGCGCCCTCTACCTCTGCGCCACCAGCGCTTTCACCACTCTTGCTCGCGCTGCCACTTGTGCTACGTATTGTAACAACACCACTGCCAGTATCCACCACCACATCACCTGCTGCTGCACCTGCCACCTCTCCTTTTGCCCCTGCATTCACCTCCCCCTCCATTATTTCCCGCTCTTCCCCTGCCCCTCTCGCCCTCGCCTCTCCAGCTTTCCCCGTCGCTTCCCCCTCCGCCTCCGCGTGCCTTCTCTCCACCTCCTCCCCTCTGCTCAGCCCTCCGCCTCCTGCGCCATCTCCCCAATTTTCTTCAAAACGGCCCCACCCCCCTCCGCCCACCTCATTTCCGCTGCCTACCCCGTCCTTCTCCCCTAGTTCTCGCGCCGCCTCCGCATTGTTATCCGCGCGCGGGGCAGCGCAGGGGCTGAATGCGGGCGCAAAGGGCGCGGGGAGCGAGAGGAGCGCGAGCGCGAGCGTGTAGAGCAGGCAGAGCGCGGCGGCGCGCTTGAGCGCGCGCAGAGGGGGGAGGCGCCGGCGGAGGGAGAAGTGGAGGGCGGCGCATGCGAGCGCGAGAGAGGTGAGCGCGCCGACGGCGACGAGAGGGGGGAGCAGCGCGCAGGACTGCGGGGGAGCGGCGGGCATTGCGCGTGTGCAGGGCAGTGAATTGAATAGTGGGATTGGGGGAGCGTGCTCTAAGCTTTTCCGCGATGCAAGCTTGAAAGGCGTTGTTTGCAGGATGAGTTGAGGGTACAATAGTGTACGGACTTTGAACATATCTCATAAACACTGCACACAATTTCTTCCTTTTACAAACTACTGAGCTAGATTACCCATAACCACATTCTGCACATAGAAATACTGGCAACAAAAACGATCTTCTTTTTACAAGCAACCGAGATATGTTACACAACACCTCCCTCCTTTCCCCTCCCCACCCCTACCCACTCCCATGCACAGACCGCCATGTCCGGGCCTTTTCAAAGCCGTTCACCCCGCGGCGGTAGTCACTGAGAGCCTGCTGGATCTCCTCTTCCCTGTTCATCACAAATGGACCGTACTGCACCACCGGCTCGCCTATAGGCTGCCCCGCTATCAGCACAAAGCGGCACTCCTCAGCGCCCTCGTTCCACACGTGCACGCCGTCCCCCGCCCCCAGCACCACCGTATGATGTGCACCAGTGGGCTCCGCCCCCTTCTCCCCGATGGTAGCGGCTCCTGAGAGCATGTAGATGAAGGCGTTCCAAGCGGTGGGGAGCGGTTGCGCGAGGTGCGCGCCGGGGTCGAGGCGGAAGGAGAGGTAGGAGGTGGGCGTGCGCGTGGCGACGGGGGAGGAGGCGCCGAGGGCGGTGCCGGCGATGACAGCCACGTGCACGCCGTTGTGCGACGCCTTGGGAATGTCGGCATCCTTTAGCTCCTGGTAGGCTGATGGCACCCTGGCGGACAGAGGGGGGAAAGGAGGGGGTACGGGGGGGTTGTGGACTGGGTGCGACACAGCGAGGTGCTCCCGGCAACGACGGCGCCGTGCACAGCGGCGCGTACCCTGGCAGACGGAGGGTGGTAAGAGGGGGCGAGAGCAAGAGGCTGAGGACATAGGGCACGTGAGCATGGTGGGATGGGATGAGGGGCAGCAGATGAAAGACGGGAGGAAGAGAAGACAGGAAAAACGGAACCCACCATCATCCCCTGCTCACATCTTGTCTTTAGCGGCGAGGTTGACCCAGAGCTGCAGCCCGTGGGTGGGACCCCCGCCAGGCATCTCCGAATGCACCACGCCCCTGCCAGCTGTCATCCACTGATTGGCCGCAGCACGGTAGAGAGAGCAGGGGCAGGGCAGAGGGAAGGGTGAGGGTTGCAAGCAAGTGGCATGGGAGGCCTGGCACAACGCACACACGCGCAAACCACACATGCAAATACACACACACACACACACACACACACACACACACACGCGCACACACACGCACGCACGCACGCACGCACGCACGCACGCACGCACGCACGCACGCACGCACGCACGCACGCACACACACACACACACGCACATCACCCACCTGCACGTCCCCTGCATGCAGCTGCCCCTTGTGGCCGTTGAAATCCTCGTGCACGAATGACCCCTGCTCACAGGCATGGGTACAGAAGGAGGAATGCACGGGTACGAGATGTACAGAATGAAATTCTGTGAACCTTCCATGGTGTGTACGCGAGCATTACAGCCACGGGTGATCATGACAAGGTGAAGGTCTGGAACAGTTGACTCGAGGCCCAATGGAAAGATGGTCGTCTTGTTAACTGAAGCGAAGGGTGGCAGCGTGGGTCATATGCATCTGAAGCAGGTAGGAGACCCACCTTAGGAGACCCACCTGAAGCAGGTAGGAGACCCACCTGAAGCAGGTAGGAGACCCACCTGAAGCAGGTAGGAGACCCACCTGAAGCAGGTAGGAGACCCACCTGAAGCAGGTAGGAGACCCACCTGAAGCAGGTAGGAGACCCACCTGAAGCAGGTAGGAGACCCACCTGAAGCAGGTAGGAGACCCACCTGAAGCAGGTAGGAGACCCACCTGAAGCAGGTAGGAGACCCACCTGAAGCAGGTAGGAGACCCACCTGAAGCAGGAAGGAGACCCACCTGAAGCAGGTAGGAGACGGTTTCAAAGCCTCGGTGGGGATGGTCTGGAAAGCCTGCTGCCGCGTTCTCCGCTGCCAGCAGACCAGCGGACGGTGGGGGGAGCAGCGTCGCAGAAATCAGAGGGGAAAGTGGGGGCATGAGGGGCAGTGGGAGCAAGTGGCGACGAGAGGTGGATGGGAGATGTGGTGAAAGAATGGAGCCCATGGGAGATGTGGTGAAAGAATGGAGCCCATGGGAGATGTGGTGAAAGAATGGAGCCCATGGTCGCATAAAACCGACCGTCGCATGGACCACAACACAACAGGGTGTGGCGGCGCCAGTGGGAGAAGCGGGGGAAGGGGGACGTGCCGCTGAGGGCGGGGCGCTCGGGAAAGAGGGTGGAGGGAGAACGGGCAGGGGAGCACAGGCGGGGGAGCAGGGGCGGGGGAGCACGGGCGGTTGATCACGGGCGGGGGGAGCGCGGGCGGGGGAAGCACGGGCGGGGGGAGCGTGGGCGGGGAGCGAGTGGGCGGGGGGAGCAGGAGCGCGCGTACCTTTGAACTCGTCGAGCAGCAGGAAGGGGTCCAGCTGGCGCAGCTCCGGCCTGCGCGCACACGCACCGCAGGGAAGCAACGCGCGGGAAAGCGGGCGGAAGGAAGGGAAACAGACTTGAAGAGACGGCGATGCAAGGTTTCACGTTGCAGCGGCATGACTTGGGAATTTCTCTTGCAAAACGGCGACGTACTGCCTTTCACTGCCACTCCCACTCCCATCGCCCTGTTCAACTGTAAAAATCTTTTCCCCCCTTCACCACCACCCGCTCCCACTCCGCTTGCTCGTCCCCCGCAAAGCCTCCCCATCTCCCGCCGCCCGCTACACCTCGTATATACGAATGCATCAGCCCCAAGCATCTTCGCCCGTAAGGCGAGGCGTTGTAACCCACCTGCCGATGCTGCGCCTGACGCGCGCCCCCGCGCCTTCCGCCTGCTCCCTGGACAGCAGCTTGCGCACGGCCTTCCGCGGTTGCCGAATCTCCGCCGCCGCTGCTCCCGCGCCCGCTGCCGCACCTCCCGCTGCTGCCACTGGAGGTGCGGCGGCGACGGCAGCCATGGCGAACGTATTGGCGGGGGAAGATAGTTCAGAAGGTACAGAAGCGATGGATGCTGGTAAGGTGACTCGCGCTGCGGGGGTGGCGTCAGGAGATGCGGGGGTGCGAAACGGAAGGCGGAAGGAGCGGAAAGCCTTGGCCTTAAGAAGCGCGGAAATCATCGAGATGCGCGAGGACGGTAGTACTTGTTGCTGACTGGACGCGCGTTTGTGTGGATTTCAACGAAACGCATGGCGCGACGCGGTTAAATACCCAAGCGAACCAGTCGACAGCCAGCTAAAAGCAAGCGCTTCACGATTCCGCCAAAACCAGAGTTTCTTGGACACTTCGCGGAACGCACGCAGCCCTGAACGGAAGCCTCCAGACGAAACCGTTTGAGGCAGACTCGAAATTAGACAACGGACGAAATGCCCGAAAGGAGGACTACATGTGTTTTGCCAGAGCATCGAGGACAGATTTCTATGTCTGAAAATCAGAGCATCAAACGATTTTGGTCTGGAAAAGTTGGGCCTGCTGCGAATCCTTGATAGATCTACGAATGTTTTCGCAAGCCGCGAATGTGCACCGCCGCTTTACAGTGAGTGTCTAGAATGGCATGGCATGCTTCAAGTTGGATTCATAAAAGAACGTGGTAACCTGGCTTTGATCCAGATCCCTCGCGACCCACTAAAGCGCATGAATGTGATGTGATTGGCCAACAGCACCGCAGTCAAACCGTCTGCTCCCTCGCCAGGAAAAACGAAACCTCGGAACACTTAGGGCGTGTAAAATTGTAACGACCAAACCAATTTTCCGCCCTTTGCATGTTTCTGGCGATTGCGAAACGATGTAACGCGTAAGCGATCCCCGCCACAATTTTCGTGAGCGAGTGGGGCATCCGCCACGAACCATCCCCGTAATTGAAAGCAAAAAAATTGATTCTTACTACTGCATTCGAACGGGGTGGGAATAAAGGGGGCTTGGAGGCCTAGACCCGAGTGTTTAACAAAGCATTAAATTTAGGCGAGCACAAAGGTTTTTCCACTCGCTGAGGAAACATGTCTACGTAGGTCCCAAAATGCAGTGCGTCCAATTTCTATGCAGAATACCCTTGCTATTTGGTCAAATCGGGGTGACTACTCTAAACGTTGTAACCCTAATTCCTCGCAATCGCCAGAAACGCCCAAATGAACGACCATAGCGTTTGGTCGTTACAATTTTACACGCCCTTACATACTTACAGAAACTAGAAACTCCTCGCCTTTCTAAGACTCAATACATCTACCCCCCACACTTCGTTTTTAGCGGAGAAGAAGCACGCCCTCGCCTTATATTTCGGTAGCTGTCACTCCCGAGCCACAGACTACTCTCCGATTGTTCGCATGCAGCGTGAACCTATATAAGGCATAGAGGTTCCACGCCCTACGCCCTAGGCATAGATGTAACACACTCTCCCGAACATTCATACATAATTCAGGACGCATTTCCTCACACCCGTTACTCCAGTGCGAAGTGCGACGACTGCCAGCATTTTTTCTGGATTCAGGCTCGTTGTGTGGTTTGTTCGAAATAACCGTGCCGCATCCATCTCCGTATCCCACGCTTCGCCTCTTCCTCGCGATCGTCTCCTCCCCTTCCTCGCCCGCCGTCCGCGCGAATCTGACCCTCGTCGCCAGCACCTGCCGAGGCTGACCTCGCACGCCGGTTTGCACGCGATCCGGGCTCCGGTATATGGGCCTGCCGATGGGCTCCACTGGCCCTGCTACTGTCGGAGCACGCGGTGGTCGTCGGCCGAATGTGCTTATAACGGGTACACCCGGCACGGGAAAGACGTCGACGAGTCAGCTGGTGGCGGAGGCGACGGGTCTGCGACACGTCAACGTGGGCGACCTTGTGCGACAGAAGGAGCTGCACGACGGGTGGGACGACGAGTACGACTGTTTCGTGCTGGACGAAGATAAGGTAGCCACGTGCACCATGATGCGATGGGCTGGGTCTGGATAAGCCGTACGATGACGATGGGATTGCATTTAGAGTTGCAACGCTGTGAAAGCAAAGTCGCTTCAGGGGTTTTGGGGTTTGAGCAGTTGAAAGGTGTTGTGCTTCCACGGTCCACCCTTGCTCACACGTTCCCCTTCCCTGCCTTACCCTCTCGTCCCTGTCCCCTGCCCCTCGCACCCCACCCCTTCCCCGCCAGCCTCTGCCTTCCCCACCTCCTTCGGCCCCAACTGCACCACTTCCCCACATCCTCCCCATCCCTCCCTTGCTGCCCTGAACCCCGCTCATCCTCACCTTCTCAGTCCATCCTCACCTTCTCCGCCCATCCCTACCCTCTCCGCCCATCCATACCCTCTCCGCCCATCCCTACCCTCTCCGCCCATCCCTACCCTCTCCGCCCATCCCTACCCTCTCCGCCCATCCCTACCCTCTCCGCCCATCCCTACCCTCTCCGCCCATCCCTAACTCTCTCCGCCCATCCCTACCCTCTCCGCCCATCCCTAACTCTCTCCGCCCATCCCTACCCTCTCCGCCCATCCGTAACTCTCTCCGCCCATCCCTACCCTCTCCGCCCATCCCTAACTCTCTCCGCCCATCCCTACCCTCTCCGCCCATCCCTAACTCTCTCCGCCCATCCCTACCCTCTCCGCCCATCCCTACCCTCTCCGCCCATCCCTACCCTCTCCGCCCATCCCTAACTCTCTCCGCCCATCCCTAACTCTCTCCGCCCATCCCTAACTCTCTCCGCCCATCCATTCCATACCCTCTGTCTCTACCATCGCTCTCCCACGCCCCACCTCAGATCTGTTACTGTTCGCAATCATCTGCCTCCGACCATCACCTCCCCTCCCCCCCCCCTTACCTCCTCTCCCCCTGTCTGTGCTTGGGGAGCATGAGCGCAGGTGGTGGACGAGTTGGAGGAGAGCATGGGTGCGGGGGGAGTGTGTTGGTGGAGCACCACTCGTGCGACTTCTTCCCCGAAAGGTGGTTCGACCTTGTCGTCGTGCTGCAGACCGACAACTCGCTGCTCTATGACCGCCTAAGCGCCAGGTGATCACCTCCGGGTGTGCGCGCTCTCTCTCTCTCTATCTCTCTCTCTCTCTCTCTCTCTCTCTCTCTCTCTCTCTCTCTCTCTCTCTCTCTCTCTCTCCCTCTCTCTCTCTCTCTCTCTCTCTCTCTCTCTCTCTCTCTCTCTCTCTCTCTCTCTCTCTCTCTCTCTCTCTCTCTCTCTCTCTCTCTCTCTCTCTCTGACGATCATGTTGTCAAATTGCTTGGTGCCTGAGAGGTCTCACTTTGTGCGTTTCTGACCGCAGTTTAAGCATTCAAGTACCGATATGTGCCCTCCCATTATGCCCGCCTTCCCATGATGCATCCCATGGCATGTGAGCTCATCGTCAGGGGGTACACAGGCAAGAAGCTGCAGAGCAACATGGAGTGCGAGATCATGCAAGTGCTGCTCGAGGAGGCCAGGGACAGCTATAAAGAGTCAATAGTGCACCCCATGCAGAGTGATTCGCTAGAAGATATGGAGAGGAATGTTGCAACAATAAAACAGATGGTGGCACAGTTGGAAGAGGGCGGATAGTAGAAATTCGTACGGCATGGCTTGCTTGCCTTGTTACATTGCTATTTTTGTGGTGTAGTTTTGAAAATGTAGAATGTACTAAAGGGGTGCACCTGACAAAGGCATACCTTCAGCGCCTGCATAGTAGGCGTGTACTGTATGGTATGTCCCATCTGGCACTGGCTGTTCATCTGTAACCTGTACTGAAAAAGTTTCATAACTTTGAGTATATAAGAAACTCCAATACCGTATAAAAATACCTCTCATCATACTGTTGGAGGGAACTCGGTGGCGGGGCGGTTGTATGTCCCCCCCAGCCCACCCCCATTAGAACAACTTCCTGCCAAGCAGAGGACACACCTCTACGGCACATATCACTTGCTCACTTTTCCGCAGGGCAACCACTCTGTTGAGACACAGCGATCGCTGTTCGAAGCGCTGCATCAGGAAGAGCGCCTGCTGACGCAGTCCGTGACTCCCTGGACGCGTCACATTCGTCACGTTTTCCTACGGGTTCCACAAAGGTTGAGAAAGGTCTGAAGAGGTACCGCAGCTCTCCCGACGGCGTGACTTATGGGAATCGTTTCCTCGTTGTGCCGCAATGCATCTTGTCGTCGTGCATTTCGCCTTTTCAAGCTTCAGAAAATAACAAAACGCATGTTTCATCAAATCCCTTGGCTCGTTCATGGTTCCCTCTGTTTTCTCCCTTCGCTTTGTTTCCCTCACGTTTCCTCTGCGTGCAGGCGTCCTCATCCCGGTGCGTTCGCCTCGTAGGCACAGCTACTGGCCAGCAGTCCCAGGCCAGCAGGTGCGGGAATGGCCAGTCATTTGTCCCTGTCTGTTCATGTGTGTGCATGTTTGCATCATGCTCTCTTCGCGCCTCATCTGCTTCATCAGACAGTTGGAATAGTACGCCTTGACAGTTGGAATAGTACGCCTTGACAGTTGGGTGATTACGCCTTGACAGTTGGTTGATTACGCCTTGACAGTTGGGGGATTACGCCTTGACAGTTGGGTCATTACGCCTTGACAGTTGGGTGATTACGCCTTGACAGTTGGGGGATTGCGCCTTGACAGTTGGGTGATTACGCCTTGATATTTTCCAGCCAGTTTATTTTCAGCAACTTCCAAGCACTCTGCACATGCTCGTTTCTTTACGCCTATTCCTCTTCTGCCCTCATGGACCCCGATTCCTTCCTTACCATCCCTGTCCCCACCCACTCCTCCCCCTCACCTCCCCCACCTCCCGATTCCTTCCTTGGATATAATTTAAGTTTCAACGAATTCAACCTTCCCATTCCTGATTGCAGCGAGAATCATGGTGGCGGGAAGAACCCGAGACTAGAATCTGGTGACGCAATGTGGAGGCACATGGCGGGACGTATCTTATCTGAATAGTCGTAGGGCGTGCCAGCGTGGGAATGCGCAGGGGAGATTTTTGAGGCGCCTCAAAAAACAATGTGGAGGCACATGGCGGGACGTATCCGACCTGAATAGTCGTGGCGTGCCAGCGTGAGAATGCGCAGGGGAGAGTTGAGGAGGAGCACACAAGAATGGAGGGCGAGCATAAGGGCGAGCATAAGGGCGAGCATAAGGGCGAGCATAAGGGCGAGCATAAGGGCGAGCATAAGGGCGAGCATAAGGGCGAGCATAAGTGCGAGCATAAGGGCGAGCATAAGGGCGAGCATAAGGGCGAGCATAAGGGCGAGCATAAGGGCGTTGCGAGTTGCAGCAGTGAAATGGCGAATGGGCTGTTAGGGCACGGAGTAGCAGCAGAGGGGGGCGTGAATACGATTAGGAGGCTAGAGACAGTAGAAGAGGTAAACAAGGCACCTGGATCGCCGCACAAGCTACCTCCGTTGCTGCAAAGGTCACCTGATGAGGAGGAGGAGCGGGCAGTAATGGAAGGGGGCGCGCACAGCGATGGTGGCGCAAAGGAGGAAGCGAGAGAGGAGGGAAGAGGGGGAGAGCAGGGGGAGCAGGGGGAGCAGGTGGTCGGGATGGAGATAGATGTTGTTGAGGCGGTGGTGCGAGGGGCCACGGGTAACATTGACGTGATTGTACAGCACGACTCCAGTAGCGCGGATGTCCACGCACGTGGTGCTGCTGCTTTTGAGTCGACTCAAAAGCCGACGGGTAACATTGATATGATTGTACAGCACGACTCCAGTAATGCGGATGTGCTTGTAGGTGGTGGTGGCGCTCCGAAGAGCACAGGTTCGGGAGTAGCTGGTGGTGGTGGTTGTGGTGATGGGAGTGGGAGTGAGGGGGAGGGGCGGAAGGCAGGGAGTGGGTCGGAGAGTGCATTGGGGGGCAGGAGACGGAGCATGCGCGCTAGTGCTGTGCTGGCCATGGCCAGGATTTCTGGTAAAGGGGCAGGCGGAAGCGGAGCAGGGGGCGGAGGAGGAGCAGGCAAGAGCAGTACTCCCCATAATCACGCTCACTCGCACGCCAAGTCTCAGAATGCCATTTCGGGAAGAGGAGTAGGAGGAGGGAGAGGAGGAGCAGGAGCGGCAACAGCAGCAGCAGCAGGAGCAGGAGCAGGAGCAGCAGGAGGAGCAGGAGCAGGAGCAGGAGACATGGACGTGTGTGTGGGTGAGTTAGCAGTGGTGAATGAACCATTTGAACTCCAATTCAACTCCCGCATCTGCTCTTCCGCTGCTGCTCCTGACTGCGCTGCCGCTGCTCCTGCCACCGCCGCCGCTACCGCCACTGCTGCTGCTACTGCTGCTGCTGCTGCTGCCGCTGCTGCTGCGGGTGCCAGTGGTGCATGTGGTGGTGGTGGTAGCGGAGGAGCAGGGAGTCACTGTGGTGCTCACTCTAGAGGCGGATCCAAGTCTGCAGTGAGGTCAGGCGGAGGAGCAGCAGGCGGGGCAGGCGAGCCAGAGTACGGCAAGGGCACGTTCCCCTGGGCTGTGATGGACCAGTGGTACTGGGAGTGGGGGCTCTATGGCTGGGACGATCTCACCCAAGGGGGTGCTACAGCGGGTGCTGCTGCTGCTGGCGCTGGTGGCTCTGGTGGTGGTGGTGCGTGTGGTGGGAGTATTCTGGGCGGGAAGAAAGGGATCGGGATTGGGGCTGGGGGGAGACGGGGAGTGGGAGGAGGGAGTGGGGGCGGTGCGAGTGGGGGAAGAAGTAAAGGGGGGGCGAATGGGGAGGCCAAGAGTAAGGGAGCGGGGGATGTGGCGTGTAGGACCGGTGAGGGGATGGACATAGATGGGGTGGTTCGGGCGGAAGGGAGTGCGGTTACCGGGGGTAGTGCGGTTACGAGGAGTACGGGAGTGAGTGGGATAGATGTGGTTGCGAGGGAGGGAAGGTGCGTGGAGGGGCAAGAAGAAAGGCGTGGTGGGAGTGGTGGTGATGATGCCTCTCATGGGGCTCCACTTGTACACGAGATAAAAGAGCAGCAGCAGAAAGAGCAAGGCGAAGAGAAGCACAAGGAACAGCAGACGATGCAGCAGCAGCAGCAGCAGCAGCAAAAGCAGCAGCAGCAGCAGCAGCAGAGGCGGCACCGTTAGACCCAAAGTACGTGCTGCGGGGAGTTAGAGCCACAAAGCAAACCGCCAAGCCAGCAGCACCCCACCCTGGCATGGTGGGTAGCCATCCCCCTCCCCCTGCACGGCCCACACCCGCTGCTACTGCTGCTGCTACTGCTGCTGCTGCTGCTGCTGCTGCTACACCCACCACTGCAGCCAGCGCCACTGATGCAAGCACTGACTCAGCCACTGCCGCAACTGGTGCAGCAGGCAGTGCAGCAAGCACCTCTCTCCCCCCCGCCCCAGTGGCCGCGCCGCCCCCCTGCTCCGTGTGCAAGGCAGCAGAGGACGCCACGTGCCTGCTGTGCGACGCCTGCGATGCGTGCTTCCACCTGCGCTGCCTCAACCCGCCCGCTGAAGAGCCCCCCGCAGGGGACGAGTGGCTGTGCGAGGCGTGCGCGGAGGAGCAGTGGGAGCGCGGCAACGCTGTTGTGTTTGAGGACGAGGAGCTCTGGGCGAGACGGCACATGGTGGGGTTGGATGCGGTGGGGAGGGGTTTGGGAGGAGGAAGAGCGGGGGAAGGGTTTGCGTGGGAGTATGATTGGGAAGCGGATGCGGAGGGGAGGGCGGGAGGGGCGAGGAACGGGGGGATTGGGAGGGGAGGAGGGGAAGAGGAGGAGGAGGGGAAGGGCGGTGGAGGAGAGAGTAGAGACAGAGGAGGAGAAAGAGGAGTGGGGGGAGGGGGAGGTGGGGAAGGGCAGGAGGGAGCGGCAGGGAGCAACGGGCAGCAGAAGCAGGAGGAGCAGGAGGGGGAGGGGGAGGGGGAGGCGGGAGGGGAGGGGATACAGGGAAGGAGCCGTGGGGGCATGCGGCCATTGAAGTCAGGTCCGGAGGGGCGGGGGCAGTGGTTGCTGCGCGGCGAGTGGCTGGCGGCGCAGGGGCACATCCGCGTGGGCCCCATGTTCCAGGCCCTCGTGGGTGACTGGCACGGCGCTCCGGAGAAGGGGGTTTCGGAGAAGATGGAGACGGATGGGCGCGGCGTGGATGAGGATGAGCTGTACGTGGTGGTGGTGGTGGTGGTGGTGGTGGTGGTGGTGGTGGTGGTGGTGGTGGTGGTGGTGGTGGTGGTGGTGGTGGTGGTGGTGGTGGTGGTGGTGGTGGTGGTGGTGGTGGTGGTGGTGGTGGTGGTGGTGGTGGTGGTGGTGGTGGTGGTGGTGGTGCCCACCCCTTGCTTCTCATTCTCTTCCCTTCTTCCCATCCCCTCTTCCTCTCTACTTCCCTCTCCATCCAATGTGTCCCTACCCTCGCACTACCCACTCGCGCGTCCTCTTCGTTTTGAATGCGCATCTGTGCTTGTCCCTCCTGTCTATCTATTCAGTGTTCACCCCTCTGGGCGTCAAGGCTGCTCCCAACCTTGAGCCAACTATCTCCGCTTCTCTTCCCCCCCCCGCTCCTGGTTCTGTCCTTCCCACGCCCTTTTTCTTGTCCCTCCCCGCCCTGCTTCCTTCCGCCCCCTGCTTTGCTTCCCTCTCCTCCCCCCTACTTCCCCCTCCCGGCCTGCCGGCCATCCCTGGGAGCAGCGAGCGGCCTGGGTTTGGGCAGGAGCGGGCGCTGAGCGAGGAGGAGAAGGAGGCGGAGCTGGAAGCCATGAAGCAGCGCCTGGCAGAGGTACCAATACTGCTGCCAGTGCACGTGTGTGGCTTGTGCATGAATGCATGACTGATGGGACTAGTGGCGCTCGTGTGGCTAGTGAGGCTCGTGTGGCTAGTGAGGATCGTGTGGCTGGTGCCGCTGTGTGGTAGCAGCAGCTGCAATGCAAGCATACAACCACATCCACTCCTCCTTTGGACTCTCTCCTAACCCTCCACCACTTGCTCCTCGTCCCCCTCCTTCTCCCCTCCTTCTCCCCTCCTTCTCCCATCGTTCCCTGCTCCTTCTCTCCTCCTTCAACCTTACTGCTGCTCCCCTCCTTCTCCCCCTGTTCTCTCCCGCTTCCCCCCGCTGCTCCCCTGCACTCCCAGGGCAAGTGGCCCATGGACTGGCAGCCGGTGCGCAACCTGGCAGTGGCAGCGGAGCAGCGGTGGGAGCAGTGGAAGCAGCAGCAAGGACACAACTCGCTCACACCTCCTTTGAACTCTCTCCCAATCCCATTCTCCCAACCCCTCACCCCCAGGGCAAGTGGCCCATGGACTGGCAGCCGGTGCGCAACCTGCCGGTGGCAGCGGAGGAGCGGTGGGAGCAGTGCGAGGGGATTCTGTATTATGAGGGCGATGTGAGGGCAGATGGCAAGATTGCCCGCAGGGACGTGGAGTGCGGCAAGTGGCGCAGGTGAGGCTGTGGAGTGCGGCAAGTAGCGCAGGTGAGGCTGTGGAGTGCGGCAAGTGGCGCAGGTGAGGCTGTGGAGTGCGGCAAGTGGCGCAGGTGAGGATGTGGAGTGCGGCAAGTGGCGCAGGTGAGGCTGTGGAGTGCGGCAAGTGGCGCAGGTGAGGCTGTGGAGTGCGGCAAGTGGCGCAGGTGAGGCTGTGGAGTGCGGCAAGTGGCGCAGGTGAGGCTGTGGAGTGCGGCAAGTGGCGCAGGTGAGGCTGTGGAGTGCGGCAAGTGGCGCAGGTGAGGCTGTGGAGTGCGGCAAGTGGCGCAGGTGAGGCTGTGGAGTGCGGCAAGTGGCGCAGGTGAGGCTGTGGAGTGCGGCAAGTGGCGCAGGTGAGGATGTGGAGTGCGGCAAGTGGCGCAGGTGAGGATGTGGAGTGCGGCAAGTGGCGCAGGTGAGGATGTGGAGTGCGGCAAGTGGCGCAGGTGAGGATGTGGAGTGCGGCAAGTGGCGCAGGTGAGGCTGTGGAGTGCGGCAAGTGGCGCAGGTGAGGATGTGGAGTGCGGCAAGTGGCGCAGGTGAGGCTGTGGAGTGCGGCAAGTGGCGCAGGTGAGGCTGTGGAGTGCGGCAAGTGGCGCAGGTGAGGCTGTGGAGTGCGGCAAGTGGCGCAGGTGAGGCTGTGGAGTGCGGCAAGTGGCGCAGGTGAGGCTGTGGAGTGCGGCAAGTGGCGCAGGTGAGGCTGTGGAGTGCGGCAAGTGGCGCAGGTGAGGCTGTGGAGTGCGGCAAGTGGCGCAGGTGAGGATGTGGAGTGCGGCAAGTGGCGCAGGTGAGGCTGTGGAGTGCGGCAAGTGGCGCAGGTGAGGCTGTGGAGTGCGGCAAGTGGCGCAGGTGAGGCTGTGGAGTGCGGCAAGTGGCGCAGGTGAGGCTGTGGAGTGCGGCAAGTGGCGCAGGTGAGGCTGTGGAGTGCGGCAAGTGGCGCAGGTGAGGCTGTGGAGTGCGGCAAGTGGCGCAGGTGAGGATGTGGAGTGCGGCAAGTGGCGCAGGTGAGGATGTGGAGTGCGGCAAGTGGCGCAGGTGCGGCAAGTGTGAAGTGACGTACCGGCCCTGTGAAGTGACGTACTGGCCCTGTGTTTCCATGTCAGCGCATTGAGCGGGTTTCAAGTGAGAGGCCTACTTTGAAAGTGCACGCTAGAAGCCCATCTCATTTGCAGTTGCCCACTATTGTTTGTGCGTGCACTCCCATCACCACCCATCACCACCCATCACCACCCATCACCACCCATCACCACCCATCACCACCCATCACCACCCATCACCACCCATCACCACCCATCACCACCCATCACCACCGAGCATGGCATGGCAGGGTGCCGAGTGTGTTTGAGGTGGAGGACAAGTTTGAGTGCTCCTGTGCGCTCACCTTCGACCCGCATCATGCAGACTGCATGGTGCCACAGGTGCGTGCATGGTGCCACAGGTGCGTGCGCATGTCACTGCATGGTGCCACAGGTGCGTGCGCATGTCACTGCATGGTGCCACAGGTGCGTGCGCATGTCACTGCATGGTGCCACAGGTGCGTGGCATGTCACTGCATGGTGCCACAGGTGCGTGGCATGTCACTGCATGGTGCCACAGGTGCGTGCGCATGTCACTGCATGGTGCCACAGGTGCGTGGCATGTCACTGCATGGTGCCACAGGTGCGTGCGCATGTCACTGCATGGTGCCACAGGTGCGTGGCATGTCACTGCATGGTGCCACAGGTGCGTGCGCATGTCACTGCATGGTGCCACAGGTGCGTGGCATGTCACTGCATGGTGCCACAGGTGCGTGGCATGTCACTGCATGGTGCCACAGGTGCGTGCGCAGGTCACTGCATGGTGCCACAGGTGCGTGGCATGTCACTGCATGGTGCCACAGGTGCGTGCGCATGTCACTGCATGGTGCCACAGGTGCGTGCGCATGTCACTGCATGGTGCCACAGGTGCGTGCGCATGTCACTGCATGGTGCCACAGGTGCGTGGCATGTCACTGCATGGTGCCACAGGTGCGTGCGCATGTCACTGCATGGTGCCACAGGTGCGTGCGCATGTCACTGCATGGTGCCACAGGTGCGTGCGCATGTCACTGCATGGTGCCACAGGTGCGTGCGCATGTCACTGCATGGTGCCACAGGTGCGTGGCATGTCACTGCATGGTGCCACAGGTGCGTGCGCATGTCACTGCATGGTGCCACAGGTGCATGCGCATGTCACTGCATGGTGCCACAGGTGCATGCTTATGTGTTCGTGCGCGTGTGTGGGTGTGAGCTTGCGCGTGTGTGGGTGTGAGCTTGCGCGTGTGTGGGTGTGAGCTTGCGCGTGTGTGGGTGTGAGCTTGCACGTGTGTGGGTGCATCTATGCAATTTCCTCCTCGTCTCCGCCTTTTCTCCTCTCCGCTCCTCTCCTCCTCCTCTCTCTACCACGTATTGTGCAACAGGTGCATCTGCCACAACCCCCACTTTCCTCCTTTTCCCCTTTCTCCTCCCCACATCCCAACATCCTCCTAACATCCCCTCCTCCCCACGTCTCCTCCGCCCCATGTCCCCACGGAGTGGAGCAGGAGCTGCCAAAGAGGGACTTGGAGAGGCGGCTCAAGATGATATCGGAGCTCAAATTGCAGGTCACCTCCCATGTCACTCTCGCAACCCTCTCTCGCTATACTAACTCTGATCTGAGAGAGATAGCTCAGACGAATGAAAATTTAACATGGCATCAGAGCTCAAATAGTAGATCCGCTGTCACTCTGTGGACCTTCCCTCACTATGTTAACGTTCTTTTGAGATTCGTTTGATCAAACCAATCATCAGGAGACTCTTTTTGTTATTCGTTATTCATCTCTTCCTTTCTTGCTTCCATCGCTGCTTCCATCACTGCTTCCATCACTGCTTCCATCACTGCTTCCATCACTGCTTCCATCACTGCTTCCATCACTGCTTCCATCACTGCTTCCATCACTGCTTCCATCACTGCTTCCATCACTGCTTCCATCACTGCTTCCATCACTGCTTCCATCACTGCTTCTGTTCCCTTTCTTCTTGGATTGCCGTCCTCTATCTTCCCACCCTTTCCCCCACCTTTCACCCCCCAATCGATCTATTTGCGCAGAAGCAGCAGCAGGGAGCGGAGATGGGCGAGTGGAAAGAGCGCATGGGCGAGCTGAGGGCGTTTAGGGCGCAGCACGGCCACTGCCACGTGGCCCCCAGGAGCCCCCTGGGCGTGTGGCTGCAGAAGCAGCGCATGCTGCTGCGCCGCAACCGACTGTCGGCCGTGCAGCGGGTGCGTGGCCGGGTGGCCGGGTGGGCGGGTGGGCGGGTGGGCGGGTATATTGGTGGAAGTTCCTCTTTCATCCTCCAGTCCAACTCTCCTCGCCCTTACATCCCCTAATATGTGCTACTCCCTCCTTTCCTCTTCTTCCCTCTCCCCTCCATCTCCTCCTCCTCCTTCCCACTTTCTCCTCCACTTACTCATCCTATTCTCCTCTCCAACCCCTTAACCCCCCCCTTTTCTCCCCGTATGTCGACCACAGGAGGAGCTGCAGCAGCTGAACGTGACGATCAACCTGGAGGATGCGCGGTGGGAGGAGAACTTCGCGGCGCTCGTGGACTTCAAGCGCGACTACGGCCACCTCAACGTCTCCCACGCGCCACTCGCGCACTCCAACACCGCCCCACCTCCCACCGTCGCTGCTGCTGCTGCCGCTTCTGCTGCTGCTGCTGCTGCTGCTGCTGGTGGTGGTGATGGTGCCAGTGCTGGAGCAGGGGCAGGGGGAGGGGGAGGAGGAGGGGGGGCAGGAGGGGGAGCTGCTGCTGCTGCTCCTGCTGGTATCAGTGGTGGTGGCGTTAGCAGCAGTGGTGGAGGCAGCAGCGGAGGGCAGCAGCAGGGAGGGGGAAGGCTGAGGCGAGCGCAGGACTTGGCACGGCTGAGCCAGTGGGTGAAGGCGCAGAAGGCCATGGCACAGCAGCCGTTCAAGGGGAAGAAGGCACTGCAGCGCATCTGCAGGCTGCTGGAGATTGGATTTGTTTTTTCGGAGGGCGATTCCTCCTCTTAAAGGCCGACTGGCTGTGTGCCACTGAGTGCTGGTAGCACTGGTGGTGCCTGCTAGTGTTACGTATCACGGGTGGAAGGATTCGCCAAACTTGTTTGCAAAACAGAACTGAAGTCTGTTGGATGGAACTGATGGTATATTATGGTCGAATTTCAGTAAAAAGTGCCAGAAGTCAATCATAGAAGGCTGTTACGGGTGCAATGGATCGAGGTAGCGAGGATTGCACTAAGGTGTCAAACGAGCAGGCCCTCAGATTGGTTTTGGGGCTAGGCTGAAAAATCAGAGTTGGTACAAAAATTTACTCTGAAAATCAGAGAAAAATACCAATGTACACTAGAAACAAACAGCAATTTCCCGTTTTCCCTAAAAAAAAAGTCTGATAATTCAGCCTTGGTACAAAAAAAGAGTCTGAAAATCAGAATTTTTTTGCCAAATCAGAGAAAAAAGTCTGACTTCTGAGGGCCTGCAAACGAGTACAAGCTGTGATCGAAGGCATGTGCGAACATTTACACGCGAAACATGCAAACGGTAACGCGGTGCGTGCGAGCTAGCTAGTGCTATGCTGGCAGCGAGGTTCGGGCTAGTCCCGAAGCGTAGGCTGACACGGCCGGGCCAGCAGTGCGTGGTTTGGTGAAACAGTGCGCGTGTTGGCGAAGCCCCGTTAGCAGTAACGGGTGGACTGTGTTACGCGGCGCGGCTCGGACGGGCAGGGCGACGCGACGGCGGGCCTGGTAGGCGGCGGCTGTGCGTGGGCTGCAGTCGCGCGCGGGCGGCGGCCTACAGCAGCGACGCGACGGCCTACGGGCGGGGCTGCGGCGCGCTGGACGGCCAGCAGGGCCGTTCGACGGGCGGCTAGCGGGCTGCTCGTGGGCGGCGGCGACGGTGCGGGCGGCTACTGGGTCGCGCGCACTAGAAACGGGCCGCGCGCGGGCGGCTAGCGGGCGTCGCGGCCGAAAAGCGGGGCGCTCGGGGGCGCCCTAGGAGCGAGGCGCACGAGGGCGCAAGGAGGGGAAGGCGCACGAGGGCACTACTAGTGGAACGGTGGGCCCGTAGGAACGATCGGTCCTAGGTTCCTAACCTAGGCTCGTAATACCATGTCAGAATGAGAGAAGTGTGTGAACTATGAGAACATTGGAGTACAAGTATGAAACCCTAGAATTGTGTACCCCCTAAAGGCTAACCCACTGTAGCCTACACAGCAATAACACATGTACAATGTTTGACAAAGCAGGTTGACGTGGAATGATGGGCTGATGTACCAGTCGGTCGGCAACAGTAGGTGTGCTGTTACTGGTGTGATCATTTGGCTGATCTGGAACAGTCCATAGTAGCAGGGTCGAAGTTTCGGTACGTCGGGCAGTCGCAGATTTTGCGTGTCGAGCACTGCGTAATCCCCTGACTGGTACGTGATTGGGCTGCGGTGGCGGTCAGCTTTGCACTTAGCGATGACATTGGCTTTCTTAATTGCTTCTGCGGCTCTGGTTCGGGCAGCTTGCAGAATCTCGGCGAATTGCTGTGCACGTGGCGTGGGGTTGTCCGGACTCGGTGTTATGGGCAGTGTTGGGTTTTGCCCGTAGTTCAGGTAAGACGGGGACTGCTGCGTCGTTGCTGACGTGGCGTTGTTGTATGCAAACTCAATCAGCGGTAGCTGCTGTTCCCAAGTGGTTGGGTCGTCGCACGTGGCACGAATCAACTGCTCCATTGTCTTATTCGTCCGCCCCGTTTGACCGTCGGACTCCATGGTACAACGAGCTGAACTGTAGCCTGATCCCGAACTGCTCCCAAAGGTTCTTCCAGAAGTTGCTGGTGAACTTCGTGTCTCTGTCGCTGATAATCGCTGCTGGATCCCGTGCAAGCGAACAACGGCTGCGATGAACAGGCGAGCGGTTTCCTCGGCTGAGATCGACTTCTTGCACGCAGCGAAGTGTGCCATCTTCGTCAACCTGTCAACGACGACCATTACCGCGTCGTTACCCCCAGGGTTCGAAGGTAACCCCGTGACGAAATCCATGGTAACCTGCTGCCAGGCGCGCTCGGGCGGTGGAATCGGCTGCAACTGACCCGCCTTTCGTTTCCTCGAAGTCTTCATCACTTGACACGTGGGGCACGCACCCACGTGCAGTAGTAGTAGTACCGCTGCAGTTTTCTGCCGCGTTTTTTCTACCCCAAAATGTCCCGAGGTAACTCCGTCGTGTGCCTCTCGCAGTAGCAGCTCCCTCAGAAGTGAGTACGCGGGTACCCAGGTGCAGTTGGTGCCTGTTTTTACGTAATAAACTTCTTTAGCTTCTGCCAGTTGCTGTGAATTTCCGGTCGTGAAAAATGGGTCGGTGCGGTATCCGTGGGTGAATAGGCCTGTTAACAGTGGGTTGGTTTGGGCGAGTAGGATGGCGTGGAGTTGGGCGGTAGGGCGGGTGAGTGCGTCGGCGATGTTGGATGTGCCTTTTTTGTATGTAACTGTGTAGTGGAAGTTGGACTCGAGGTAGTCCAACCAGCGGATCTGTCGCGGATTGAGATTCGGTTGGGCGCGAAGATACTGTAGTGATCGGTGGTGTGTCCGGACTGCCACATCGGTGCCGGTCAGGTAACATCGCCACACTTTGAACGCGTGCACGATCGCCAACATCTGGCGGTCGTGTATCGGGTAGTTGCGTTCGGGCGGGTGCAACTTGCGGGACTCGTACGCGATTGGCTGGAGGCCGTTCCCGAAATCCTGCAACAATATTGCTCCCACAGCGATGTCACTTGCGTCGGTGACGAGCTCGAACGGGCGATGCGGATCTGCGATGTGAAGCACGGGCGGCGAGCACAAAATTTTCTTGAGGGCCGAGAAGGCAGCTTGCTCTTTCTCCCCCCACGTGTACTCAACCCCCTTCCTCAGCAGGTCGGTTACAGGGGCGGTCAGCTTCGCCATGTCGGGGACGAACCGACGCACGTAGTTGACGAACCCCAAAAAACTCTGCAGCTCAGTCAGATTTGTCGGTGCGTGCCAAGCCTGGATCGTCGCGATCTTCTTCGGGTCTATTTCCACTCCGTCAGCTGAAGTAATATGACCTAAAAATTCCAGTCTGTCCTGTAGAAACTCACACTTAGACGCTTTCTTCAGTATGCGGTTCTCACTCAGTATTTTAAAAACTAATTCGATGTCCAGTAGGTGTTGTGCTCTATCGGGGCTGTAAATCAGTATGTCGTCTAAGTAGACGATGACGCACTTATCTAAAAGCGGGTAGAAAGCCTCGTTCATCGTCATTTGGAAGGTGGCGGGGGCGTTGGTCAGTCCGAAAGGCATAACCATGTGTTTGAAGGATCCGTAGCGTGTTCGAAAAGCGGTTTTGGGGCAGTCAGCCGGATTGACGCGAATCTGATGGTAACCCCCTCGAAGGTCGATTTTCGAGAAAACCTGGGCTGTGCGCAATTGGTCGATCAGTTCGTTGGCTCGCGGGATGGGGTAACGGGATTTAATGGTAACCCTGTTTAATGCTCTGTAATCTATGCACATGCAAAACCCCCCGTCCTTTTTCGGTGTGAACTCCTTCTTGAGCAGGTAATCCAGCTGCTTCCTCAGTTCGTCCAGTTCGGGTTGGGTCAGTCGGAACTGTCGCTGTACTGTCGGCTGTGCCCCCGGTTATAACTCTATCCTGTGGTCGTGCGGTCGCTGAGGTGGCAGTCCCGTCGGCAGGTCATCCGGAAAGATCCCACTGTACTGCTTCAGGAGTGCTGCCAACTCATCCGGTACGTCGGCAAGCAGTTTCTGTAAATCCCTCGGCTTCCCGAATGTCAACCGCATACACGTCTGCTCCTGCCGCTATGGCGCGTTTCATCGTGATCGCGTTGACACGCACCGACGAAGACTCAGGCGAGCCCCAGCGAGGTAAGGCGATGTTGTTACCGTTCACTCGCACGGTGCAGTCACCCGTCGTCCAGTCGATTCGCGGATTGTGTCGTCGCAACCAATCACGACCGAGTAGTATGTCGATTCCATCGAGGGTTATCGCGAGCATTTCATGGCTAAACTGTGAAACGTCGAGTGAAAAAATTTACTAAGGAAGAAATGTCGAGAGTACAAACCCTAAGGAAACAACCCCCTAGAGTCAACCCCACTAAGCCTAACAAATAACTCTAACATATAAATATATGTTTGACACACCCCCATAGGCAAAGTGGGGGAGAACAAGGGGTCACAAGACCAGTCAAGCAAAGTAAACAAGCTCAGGGTGGATCACAACGTCACCACACATTCCGAGCACAAGTTCAAGGCCACAAGGCCAGTTCACATGCAGGATCATAAATATGAAGGTAAGCAAACAAGTACAGGTATATATAGATCACAGTACAAGCAAGGTCAAGAGGTGAGCAAGTGAGGCCAGGTAGGCACAAGACCTAACATCGTACAAAAGCGCTGATGATCACAAGGCTGAAGTGCCTTGGTAAAGATATCAGCAGTGTTGGCCCGAGAGGCCACGTAAGCAAGGCGCAGCTGACCACGCTGCTGCAGCTCACGAGCAAGAAAGTAGCGGAGAGCAATGTGCTTCGTTCTGTGCTCCAGTCTGTGCTCCCGACACAAGGCCAGCATGGCCTTGTTGTCTACGTACAGAACTGGAGGAGAACGAGGCTGCTCTCCCAGGTCGGTCAGCAGGTAGGTGAGCCAGCGTAACTCCTGTGCAGCCATGGCCCCTGCGTAGATCTCAGCCTCACAGCTGGAGCCGAGAACAGAAGACGAGCGGGTAGACCACCACGAAACAGAGCCGGAACCAAGGCTGAAGGTGTAACCCTGTGACGACCGCTGAGTAGCCTGGTCGTCAGCCCAAGAGGCGTCCGCGTGACCAGTGAGGACCACTGAACTCCGCCCTCCAAGCACTAGCCCCATGCCCGACGTACTGCACAAGTAGCGCAACACCCTCTTAGCTGCATCCATGTGCTCTGGTCGGTGTCTCCCAGGAGCAACATAGCGCGCCAAGATGCTAAGAGGGTATGCGAGGTCAGGTCGAGTGCAGGTCATCAGGTACATGAGGCAGCCAACAAGCTCTGGGTACGGGCCACTCGGCTCTACGGACTCATCCGAAGGCAGAGCTGAGAGCGAGTGGCGAGTAGGCAGAGGAGTGGCCTGAGGCGAGGAGTACGTGAAGCCGAAGCGCTGAAGGACCTGCTGCACCATATGTGACTGAGTCAGAGTAATGGTGCGGCGTGCTCTGTCCCGGGTGATCTGCAAGCCAAGATAGCTGCGCAGTTCACCCAGGTCAGTGCACGTGTGTCTCTTCTGCAGCTCGGACTTCACGTGGGCGAGTCCAGCAGTGTCAGCAGTTGCAAAGACCAAGTCGTCGACGTACACGAGGATGTAGAACGGCGGCAGCGAGGTGTCGGTGCGCAGAAACAGCGACGGGTCGGCAGTAGAAGGAGCAAACCCAAGAGCCGCAAGTGTAGTCCTCAGTGTGTCGTGCCACTCACGGGGCGCCTGGCGGAGACCGTAGACTGGCCGCCGGAGGCTCCACTGGGTGCCAGGAGGAAAAGACCCAGTGAAGCCAGGAGGGCGGCGCAGCCAGATCTCCTCGTGCAGGCTGCCCTGCAGGAAAGCAGTGCTGAAGTCAAGAGAGTGGAGCTCGTAGTCGCGCTGAGCGGCTATGTGCAGCAGCACCCGAAGAGTAGTCATCTTCGGGATGGGAGAGAAGGTCTGAAAGTAGTCAACTCCCTGCCGCTGACTGAAGCCCCTAGCCACGTAGCGCGCCTTGAAGACAGGCGGAAAACCCGGCGGCCGCTTCACCCTGTAGATCCACATGCCACTGACGATGTTCGCCCCAGGTGGGGGAACCTCGTCAACGTAGGTGCCTGTGGACTTCCAGGAAGCCATCTCTGCGTCCATGGCTGTCTGCCACTGGGAGGAGTAGGGACCCTCGATCCCCTCAGCGTACGATCGAGGAGTCGGGATGTCTGGTGCATCCGGGTCTCCCTCAGGGGCAATCAGCATGGACACGAGATGAGGTAAAGCAGCAGCAAAACACTGGAACTCCTCCTGCCTGTCCTCAAGGACGTCCGTGCCAAGGGCACACTCACCCCCGACGGACGGAGGACAGACAAACTCAGACTCAGCAACAAGACTAGCAGTGTAGTCTAGACGACAGCGAGCAGCGAAGTCGACAAGCTCAGCAACTAGGGCAGACGCAGCAGTGGACTCAAAAGAAGGGTCAGTGACAACAGTGGCTAGGAGACGCGTGACAGTAGGGCTGGCAGCACGAAGAGAGTCAGACTCCGGGTCAGCAAGGGCAGGAAGCGAGGACGCAGGAGGAGACGGCAGAGGGACACGCTGTGGAGCAGTGGAAGGACGCAGTGCCATCTGGTGCGTGCCTGGGACCGCGGGAGGACGCTGACGCGGAACACGGCGACCGGTGCGAACAGCACGAACAGGCGACGTAGGACGCAACGCAGGCTCACGACGCTCAGCAAGACCTCCAGTAGGACCAGCGTAGGGTGAAGGGGCAGGCAGGGGACCGGCAAGCTGTAACTGTCACTCGGAGGGGACCGGCTGTGGACACTCTAAGGCAGGAGAAGGACCAGAGGAAGGCGGAAGGCGAAGAACCTGCTGAAGGAGGGGAACGAAGTACGGCCGAGGCCGCGCAGCACCTCCAGAAGGAGCAGGGACAGCACCAGCACCCTCAGCTGCAGGTCCAACTCCAGTAGGACCTGCAGCAGCACCAGTAGCGCCAACTCCAGCACCCCCAGGAGCACCGGCTCCAGCAGCACCACCAGCTCCCGAACCTCCAGCAGCACCAGCGCCAGGAAGACCACCAGGTGACCCAGCAGCACCGGCTCCTGTTCCTCCAGCAGCACCAACCCCAGCAGCACCACCAGCTCCAGCTCCTGAAGAACCACTAGGCCTAGCAGCTCCAGTACCTCCAGTACGAGCACCTCCGGGTGACTCCAGCACCCTCAGCAGCAGTAGAACCTCCAGTACCCGCAGCGACACCAGCCCCAGCAGCACGACTCCAACGCCGAGCAAACCACTCACGCAGCTCCAGTGGAGAGAGGAGCTCCCTCCTAGGCGAAGCACCCGAAGAACCTCCAGGCTCCGCACCCCCAGGCTCCGCACCCCCAGACTCAGCACCCTCAGGCTCAGCACCCCCAGACTCAGCACCCCCAGTCTCAGCACCCCCAGGCTCAGCACCCCCAGGCTCCGCACACTCAGGCTCAGCACCTCCAGACCTGGCACCTGCAGGCGCAGCACCCCGAGCAGCACCAGAGTCAACAGCTACCTCGACAGGCTCGACTGCGTCTACCTGAGACACACCTGAGGGGGCAGGACCCTGAGGGGGGAGGGGGCTCCCGGGGGGGGACCTGGGGTAAGGAAGAGCGGCGGGGGGGGGGAGCGGGGCAGTGCGGTAGGGGAAGAGACGGTAGTAGGGAACCGACTCGTCAAACGTGACGTCCTGGGAGGACAGAACACGGCGCGAGGTGGGGTGGTAAAACTGCCAACCAGGCGCGTCAGGGGGGAAGCCAAGGAAGACGCAGGGAACAGCACGGGAGGACAGCTTGTCCGCAGACAAGTCTCGAACGAAAGCCCGAGATCCCCAGACACGGAACGCAGACGCATCGCCAACCTTCCCCGTCCACCGCAGAGTGGGGGAGGTCTCCGGCAAGGAGACACAGGGCTGAAGGTTGATCTCTGCGCCGCGTACTGAACCGCAAACGGCCACAGAAAATGGGGAGCAGCCGCATGGATCATGGACGTGCGAGCGACATCCATGACCATGCCAATGCGGCGCTCAGCAATCCCATTCTGCTGTGGAGAAGCCGGAAGCGTGAACGACTGGCGGATGCCCCTCGCACGGCAGAAGGCTCGCAGAAGGTCGGAGGAAAACTCTCCACCTCTGTCGGAGTGCAGACGCAGAACAGGAAAGTCCGAGCCGAAACTCTTCCTGAGCTGGAGACGAGCAGCGCGGATCCAGTCGATCAACACCTCAGTGACCTCACCCTTGCTGCGCAAGGGGAAGACTGCGGTGTAACGCGAGTAGTCGTCAACCACCAGCAGGAAGTAACGCTCGTGACCCTGTCCACGGACGCGGGCGGGGCCCCACACGTCCATGTGAAGCGTCTGCAGCGGAGCCTCTGTCGGAGGAAACTCGGAGGAGTGAGGAGCGGCGCGCTGCCGCCCCTCAACGCAGGGAACGCAGGTAGGGGCAGGCCCCGGAGGAAGGGGAGGGAGGGACCGGGGGAGACCAGAGACAAGGACACGGGAGGCCATGCCCCGAAGACGGGGCAAGGAGGGGTGGCCCAGGCGGTGGTGCCAGAGAAGAGTCTCGTGAGACAGGAGGCGACACGAGCAGGGGGCAGACTCAGGGCCAGACCGGGACGCCGCAGCAAAGACCTGACCCGACGCAGCTACCTGACCGGACGCAGGAACAGAAGGAGACGCAGTAGTGAGTGTGTACAAACTAGACCCCGGCTGGCGGGTGAACGTGGCCAAGGGACGGCCAGTGTCTGCACACGTGCAGTGAGTCACTCTCTGACGCGCAGGAGTGAACTGGTCAACCCCCCCATCCTGTAGGTCAGCACCACTCACCAAGTTCGTAGAGAACGAGGGAAGGTAAAGACCCGACAGGGAGCCAGAGGGGGCAGCCGGACACGGTAGGACAGTGGAGTAGTGAGCAAGGACAGGACCCCCAGAGGGGTCTGCCAGGGAGACTGCAACAGGCCGACTGAGCGGCGTGAGAGTGGTGCGGTCTCGAAAGAAGGAGCGGGAAGCACCCGAGTCAAGGGTGAAGGTGTGCAAGGCCTCAGCGAGCCGACGCGGTACCTGAGAGAGCAGACTCACCAGCACCTAAGGCAGGAGTCGGACTAGCACCTAAAGCAGCGGCCTCACCAGCACCTGGGGGAGCAGACGCACTAGCACCTAGAGCAGCAGCCTCAATGCCCGGGTCAGGCGGAACACACAGGTAACAGTCACCCTCAGCACTATCAGAGATAGCATACATCGCAGCAAGGATAGCATCAAAGTCAAGATCAAAGATAGCTACTCCAGACCTAAGCAAGTCACCCCAGCGGGGGATCTCAGTGGCGTGAGGGAACTGGATACGCCAGGCATCGGTCAGGCGGCCAAAGCAGCGCTGGGTGGTGTGCGGGCCGCCACACGGCTCCCCAGTGCAGTCACCCGTACGCAGGACGTAGGCACAGGGACCAGCACCCCCAGGGCGCTGGCGCGCAGCGTACCACTCACGAAGCTGCTGGGACGACGGGGTCTCACGAGAGCGCTGCTGCTGCTGCTGGTGCTGACCACCACCCCGACCAACTCCACCCCCGCCGCCTCCACCGCCCCCGCCTCCACCTCCACTGCCGCCTCCGCCTCCTCCACCCGCACCGCCGCCACCGCCGCCTCCACCTCCACTGCCACCACCGCCGCCCCCACGCCCCCCACCACTCCCACCCCCACCTCCCCCGCCGCCCCCACCGCCACCACCACCGCCCCCGCCCGCCCCTCCCGAACCCTTGCCCCCCTTGCCCTTGCTGGTGCGGCGCCTCCCACTAGGAGCAGATGCAGCGGCGACCGACTCAGTGCCAACGAGGTCGACAGCAGCAGCAGAGGCAACAGAGGGCAAAAGGGGAACAGGGGAGCACCCCTCAAAGAAAGGGGTGCGGGGGTCGCCACGAGAAGCACCCACAGCGGTAATACTCTTTTCCGCTGCGAGGAGGCGCTCCTCGAGGAGGTCAACGGTGAGGGTGGTGGGGCAAAGGGAGAGGAAGTGGTCCCTGACCGAGCGAAGGGTGTCAGGGAGCCGGGTGACTAGGTAGTAGAGGGTGATGTACATGGGGGGGGGGGTTCTTGGCGCAGAACTCAGCAGGAAGCGCAGCGCGGTAGCGGGTATCACTAGTGCGAAGGTGCGTAATGAGGTCAGCGACTGTGGCAAAGGCAGCGAGGTCAGGGAACAGGTACGGCAGCATGAGGCGGCTAAAAGCAGCAGTGGCAGGGGAGGAGTAGCGGGCAACTACAGCGTCGTACAAGGTCTTAGCAGTCTTGAACTGGCTAAAGTGCGCGCGCTCAGTGGACGGCAGGTGACTACGCACAGCAAGACGGGCAGCTCTTGAACTGGCTAAAGTGCGCGCGCTCAGTGGACGGCAGGTGACTACGCACAGCAAGACGGGCAGCAGCATCGCGTGTGGTCCACTGTGAGCGAACAGTACTGTCGTCATCAGCAGCAGGGGCAGTAGAGGCACCAGACGTGAGATCGAACAGGGAGATGTTGTGCTTGCTATCGCACTGCAGGAAAAGCTGCAGGTCATCTATCCAGACATCAAAATCGATCGCCCGACCCTCAGCATCAAAGGTAAGCACGTTGGGAGTAGCCATGACAGCAGCACCAGTAGGCTAGCGACAGCAGGAGGCTAGCGACAGCAGTAGGCTAGCGACAACAGTAGGCTAGCGACAGCAGTAGGCTAGCGACAGCAGTGCGGTGCGGCTCGGTGAGTGCTTACCAGGGGCGGGCCGGGGTGCAGAAGGCGGCAGAGGAGGGCCGCAACTCAGCTGCAGGGACAGTAGCGGCGGCCGCACCTGCAGTAGTAGCTGCTGCTGGGGCAGGTCCGGAGGTGACAGCTGCGGCAGGTCCGGCGGCTGCAGCTGCTGCAGATCCGATGGCGGCAGCTGCGGCAGGTCCGGCGGCGGCAGCTGCTGCAGGCCTGGCGGGAGCAGCTGCTACAGGTCCTGCAGCGGCAGCTGCTGCAGGTTCAGGAGCAGCAGCTGCTGCAGGTTCAGGAGCGGCAGCTGCTGCAGGTTCAGGAGCGGCAGCTGCTGCAGGTTCAGGAGCGGCAGCTGCTGCAGGTTCAGGAGCAGCAGCTGCTGCAGGTACGGTGGCAGCAGCAGCTGCAGAATCGGCAGCGGCAGCTGCTGCAGTGTCGGCTGCGGTAGGTGCAGCAGGTTCAGCAGTGGCGGCAGCTGCAGGCACGGCGGCGGCGGCTGCTGCAGGGACAGCAACGGCTGCAGCTGCAGGGACAGCGGCGGCCACAGCAGCCGCGGCTTCCACTGCAGGGACGGCGGCAGCTGCAGCTGCAGAAGCTGTGGTGGCCGCTGCTGGTGGGAAAGCGGCGACGTCGGGCCGGGAAGGGCGGCGCGAGGGGCCGCAGAGGTTCGGTGACGCGCCGTGAGAGAGCAGCACGAGGGGCCGCGGAGGGCAGGGGAGGGCCGTAATGGGCAAAGGGGCCGCACTACGGGCCGTAAATGACGGCGCGAGGGGCCGTAAGGAGCCGCTAAGGGCGGCGTGAGGGGCCTACGTGCGGCGTAAGGGGTCATAGAGGGCCTAACAGGCGGCGCGAGGGGCCGTAAGGGTGGCGCGAGAGGCCAAAGGGTGGCGCGAGGGGCCGTGAATGCGGTCGCTAAGGGCGACGCTAAGGGGCCGTGAGGGGCCGTGGGAGGGCGCGACGGTAGGGGGCACACACGAGGCGCGACTCGGGCACGCGCGCTTCCCTAAACTAAAAAAAAAACGAGTTAATAGGTGGGCCCAAGGAAGTTTCCTAGCTTTATACCATGTGAAACGTCGAGTGAAAAAATTGACTAAGGAAGAAATGTCGAGAGTACAAACCCTAAGGAAACAACCCCCTAGAGTCAACCCCACTAAGCCTAACAAATAACTCTAACATATAAATATATGTTTGACATAAACGTAAAGTCCCCCCCGCATCGAATCCGAACCCGGTCTACGCGTTCCCGTATCGCCAGTGGCGTGCCGTCAACCAGTCTTGCGTCGATCTCAGGTAAGCATCTGTCCAGTGGACGTTTCAGCTTCCGTGCCGTGGCAGTGTTGATGAGGCTGTGGCTGGCTCCCCCGTCTACGAATATTTTAACTAAGTCTGTCCAAATTTTCCCACTAAGCAGTATGGGGCTGTCTACCGCGGTACCCTCCTTATTCGGCCGAGTGTGGTCGATTGCGTGAACCAGCACAACCACTCGGTGAGTGTGAGAGTACGACGTCATTGCTACGCTTTAGTAGCTTGATTCTGCTTTACTATGCATTATCTAGCTTAGCTTTGCTTTATTTTGCTTGCCTTTGCTAGATTTCCTAGGTTCGTTGCTTTTACTATATTATTATAGTTTTAGGCACCGAACTAGGTTGAGTGCACCGAATTCTAGGCTTTTCGGTTGCCACCGAATTGCCTTCTACCGAATTCGGGAAGGACCCGTTCGGGACGCTTCGCGACCCACGGAACCTTCTAGTAACACCCAGGTTACTGCCTTTGTGTCGAGCCTATATATCGCCTGGCCTTGTACCCAGGTACAATCATTCGATAGAATCATCTTTCCTGAACCAGATCCTCACACTTGGTAATCAGAGCTCGTTTACACGCGAGGTCTTCAACCGCGTAGTTCCGGCCTTTAAAAACCGCGGGGGCGACGACGAAGGCGCCGATACGGGTATGTAAAACCAGTTCCGCGCAATTTTTCTAAGTCCCCCTCGATTCGGTTTTCGAACACCCCTCAGATTTACTGGTGGAAAGGTTGGAGTTTCGACCGTTCGATCGAGTTTCATCTCAACGGCCCAGAGAATTTCGCCCCAAAAAGTTGGAATTTGGAGCGTCGGATCGAGTTTCTTCTCAACGGCCGAGATCGAACGCGAATTTCGACTAAGGAAGATTTACGCGACTTACAGAATTTGTGCTCGTCTATTTTACAGTCAACTCGACTCGCAGTAAGTCGACCAGCACCCGAAATTCAACTGTTTTCGTCGCACTTCTTTCTATAAATCGCCAAATGGAGGGGAAAAAGAGATACACTTGGGCTCCACTAATTTCAAGCCCTGGAAAATGTTTTCAGAGACACCCTAGACCAGATTCAGCCGTATCTTTCAGACACCCAGAATCAAAACGATATTGAGGACGCTCTCCTCAACGTTTGTTTAAAACAATGTGTCCCTCAGTGGATCAGGCTTACAGCCCTCTCTGACGGGAAAATTTTCTAGTTGCGACCTTCGTGCGTCATCGCCCTCACAAGGAGTCCGAAACCCTACCTACTTCAAAATATGTTTCACTCTGTACAACCCTTGGTCCCAGACATAATAAGGGTAGCTACCCGCGAGCGCCCGATTTCGGGCCTTGAAATTAGTGGAGCCCAGGTGCATTTCAGTACAGAAAATCGTGGAGATTCGTGCCGAGCATAAGAAGATGCGTGCAGCGCTCCCACGACTCGAGAAACTCCTTGCGAACCAGTCGGCAACCGCCACAGCAGCAGCGAATGCAGCAGCGACAGCAGCAGCAGCAGCGGCGACACCGACAATTCTACCTGCGACAACGGCAGCAGCTACAGTTAACCTCGAAGCAGTGAAGCTGAGGCTACCGGAGGCGTTCGATCCTATAGTTAAAGGGAACGACGTTCGTCGATTTGTAGCTGAACTCGAAATTTACTTCGAAGCCGTTGGATGCACGACCCCGACAGAAGACGCAATGCGCATACGGCTCGCAGCAACACTGTTACAAGGCCCAGCTCTAGAGTGGATCAACAACAGAATAGTCCAAGGCGAAGGGACGTGGGCGCAGTTTCGGGCAGCACTGATCGAACAGTTCGACACGTTGAACAGTAGCTACTACGGAACACGACGCAACAAGCCAACTAGTGGCATGGGGCGATTGGCACCACCCACGACTGCTGAACCGATGGAGAACGACGAGGGCGATGTGGAGCAGCGGCTAGCAAAAACTGAGACGTACAAATTTTGCGGCGCTACAGGACATCGTATCTTGGCGTGTTGGGAAATGAAGGGAAGGCGTGCGGAGCTGAGATACAAGAACAGTGCGGCACCCCCGAAGCAGAAAACGGACAACGTGGCAACTTCGGAGAGGGCGAAAAAAGGAGAATATGATGGCGCGAGTTTAAAACGTCACGACCAGCCGGCACCAGGGGAAATCGCCGAGACAAATGGAGACTCCGCGAAACAAGACCCTGCACCGACTGGGAAACTCCAGCCGTACACCCCGACAAGTAAGAATATTACTTCTCGTGGGTTTCAAGCCTTTATTAAGGGAGAGTCAGAAATTAAACCGGTACCGGGTAATATGGGGACCCTACTCCGGAGCGCTAACAAGGGTCGAGCGTTCCGAGGAGTTAATATTCTCTCCCAGCAGCTCTGTTTAAAGGCTCCCTGTTCCCCACAGATGAAGCCTACACAGCTGCAAAGGCCTAGGGGAAGGTTCCAGGCTCAAGAGAAGCTGTACCAGCCTCGGATAAATCCTTCTAACCCTACTCAGGTGATACCTGATATTGAAGCTGCATCTTCGAGCGCAGGACCTAGGGATGACATATTCGACGTACCCTACGATCCTATAAGCGATACCATCTACGGCTACTCGGAGCAGCAACAGCCACTAGTACTCGAGGTGATCTGCAACGGGCGACGCCTCCAGACACTGGTGGACAGTGGTGCGTCCCACTCGGTGTGCGACTGCGGGACGTTGGAGAAAATTGAAGAATCCTCAGAAGAGACCCAGTTTACAGCAACGATGGTGGACGGTACGAAGCTTCCCATCCACGGCGAAGCAACACTGCAGCTGCAGATAGGAGCGTTAAGGTTGAAGCCGACGTTGCCGATCACGAACATCAAGGGATTAGATTTCATCTTGGGGCGTGATTTTCTGAAGCAGTTCAACCCCGAGATCGACTGGGTCAACTGGAAGGCGTGTATCTACAACGACGGGAAACGTGTGAAGCTGCAAAGGTGGACGGATACAGGGGATACTCCTCATCAGCAAGCCATGGAGCAGCTACAGACAGCACTGACTACAGCGCCAGTACTCATCCTACCGAATCCAGACAGAGACTACGTGGTGGAAGCAGACGCTAGTGACCAAGCAGTCGGAGCAGTACTGATGCAGAATCACGGACGCGGTTTGCAGCCCATCGCCTATCTGAGTAAGAAGCTACACGGAGCAGAACTGAACTACCCTATCCATGACAAGGAAGCCTTAGCGATAGTCACAGCCTTCAAGGCGTGGAGGTGTTACCTAGAGGGAGCCAAGACTACAGTTTACACTGACCACTGCAGCCTCAAATACCTGAAGTCGCAGCCGACGCTCTCACGACGACAGGTGCGGTTTAGCGAGACATTTCGGGAGCAACAAGACGTTAGCGGGAATAGCAAAGTATTACTACTGGCCCCGGTTGGCAACAGACGTGCAGCAGTTCGTCACTTCATGCGACACGTGCCAGCGGATGAAGAGTAGCAAGCAGAAAAAAGTAGGGTTACTTCAGCCTCTACCCGTACCGGAGCAGCCATGGCAAGTTGTCAGCCTAGACTTCATGACTGGGCTTTCTTCGACCTCACAAGGGCATGACGCTATACTCGTGGTGATCAATAAGTTCTCTAAAATGGGACACTTCATCCCGACCAACGCCACGGCTACTGCTGAAGCAACTGCTCGCCTCTTCTTCGACCGCATCATCACCATCCACGGCATCCCCGCTACACTTATCTCGGACAGAGACCCTAAGTTCACTAGTAAGTTCTGGAGGGAACTCATGGGATTGTTGGGGACAAAGCTTGCGATGTCTTCAGCGTACCACCCCCAGACTGACGGACAAACGGAGCGACTCAATCAGGTGGTTGAACAGTTACTGCGCACAGCTTGCAAAGATGACATCAGCCACTGGGATTCACAGTTACCGACACTTGAGTTCGCTTACAATAACGCGTCGCATGCGGCCACAGGGAAATCTCCATTCTTCCTGTGCTACGGACGGGAACCACTTACACCACAGCAGCCAACCACACCGGCACACGTCCAAGCCGCACACGACTTCGTCACCACCATGCAGCAGCTATGGGAGAAGACTCAGCGACGTCTCACCACGATGCAGAACTCCCAGAAGCAGTATGCCGATCGCCAGCGACGTGATCACTCAGTAGCAGTCGGAGATCAGGTGCTTCTTGACACGCACAACTTGAACCTGTCTCACCTACCGTTTAAGCTCCGGCCTCGCTTCTGTGGCCCTTTTCGTATTGAGGCACAGGTGACACCAGTAACATTCCGCTTGCGCTTACCTATTACTTGGAAGCTTCATAATGCTTTCCATGTTCAGCTACAAAAGCCCTACAAGGACCCCAACCAACAGTTCCAGGGACGCCAGCTACCGCCACCATCACCTGTTCTCATACAGGATGAACCAGAGTACGAGGTGGAAAAAGTTCTCGCTCATCGACGCAGACGCGGCAACACGCTCGAGTTCCTGATACGCTGGAGGGGATATGACCCATCGGAGGACAGTTGGGTTGCAGAAGCTGATATGGGCAACGCACGCCGTGCTCTCAAGTACTATCTTGTCAAGCAGGGTGTTTCTCACGCCACCCAGCTTTGAGGGGGGGGCGTGTGAGAGTACGACGTCATTGCTACGCTTTAGTAGCTTGATTCTGCTTTACTATGCATTATCTAGCTTAGCTTTGCTTTATTTTGCTTGCTTTTGCTAGATTTCCTAGGTTCGTTGCTTTTACTATATTATTATAGTTTTAGGCACCGAACTAGGTTGAGTGCACCGAATTCTAGGCTTTTCGGTTGCCACCGAATTGCCTTCTACCGAATTCGGGAAGGACCCGTTCGGGACGCTTCGCGACCCGCGGAACCTTCTAGTAACACCCGGGTTACTGCCTTTGTGTCGAGCCTATATATAGCCTCGCCTTGTACCCAGGTGAATCATTCAATAGAATCATCTTTCCTGAACCAGATCCTCATAGTGAGGGTCGGTTGGGTCGAGCGAGCGGCGTTACCTGTCAATAGAGGGCCCGTCTGCTGCTGACTCCCAGCGTTTCCCTGCTGCTTAATCTGTTTCTGCTGCTCAGCTCCCCTCTTTCCCTTAGCGTTTTCCGGGCATTCGCTCTTGCGGTGTCCCGGCCGATTGCACGCGAAGCAGCGCCCTTTGAACGGTGCGGCAGCGGCATTCGCGGCGACGGCACGTATCGTAGCGCCCTCGTTCGTCCCACGAGACCGATGTCCCCAATTACTGCTGCTTGCGTAAGACTCCGATCTCGGTCGGCGGAAGAAATCGAGTTTCTCCGCCATACCGAGAATCTCCTGAAAGTTGGTGACGCCGCGGAGCTGGATTTCCTGAGCGATGTCGTGCTTCAGGCCGCCGATGTAGCGGTCGACGCGCTCGCTCTCGTGCATGTAGCCCACCTGCTCACACAGCGCCAGGAACCCGCTGGTGTAATCTTGGAATGAACCGAGTTGGCGCCAAGTGCGAAACTTCTGACGCGCCGCGATCGGAGCCGCAATTTGTTGAAATAGTAGCTAGAACGCATGAGCCATAGTTAGGGTTTTGGCTAGCTAGGCAAGAGAGATTAGGCAAAAGAGGGTTTGAACTATGGAATGAGAAGTACAAATAGACAAGAATCATGCAAGGAGTGGTGCACCACCACAGAGAACACCTATGTGACAACACTACAGCTAGAACTACATGCACTTATACAAAATATATATAAAATATATTCTGACACACCCCCTAAGTGCACGCAGAAATAGCCATGTGTAGAACACCCCCTGAAGTGGTACACCCTGCAGGGCGCAGCAGAAGAAGAGGCGAAGTGAGGAGGAGGAGTGACTGTGAGAGGAGATAGGAGGCGGCGACTGAAGCTGCTGGCACACGGGCAACGGGAGCAACTGGCACACTGGCTACCGGAGCACGACGACACCGGACTACGGGAGTAACTGGCTCCGCGGCTACGACGAGCGGCTGGAGCAACTGACCCATGTGCGACTGGTGCAACGGGCTCGCTGGCTACCGGAGCACGCCAGCTCTGGACTACTGGCGCTGCTGGCGTTACGACGGCTACCTCCGTTCTACTTCCCCCATTCCCCCACACTCCCTCGACACCCCCCTAGCGCCACTCCCTCGGCTCCCACACATCCACCCCCCTCAGCAGCAGCTGTAGCAGTGGGAGACGGAGGAGGAGGAGGAGCAGGGGATGGCGCACACACACCCGCCACCCCCATACCCGCCACCCCCATACCCCCAACACAGGCGGCGCACGCGCGGCGCGGGGCAGATACGCGGGCAGCAGCTGGGGCGGCGTGCGAGCGGAAGCGGGGCGGCGCGCGGGACCCTGGGGCGCTACGACGGGCGACGGGAGGGGGGCCGACGCGCGGGCCCCCAGGGCGCCGCGACGGGCGACGGGAGGGGGGGCGACGCGGGGGCCCCCAGGGCGCCACGACGGGCGACGGGAGGGGGGCGACGCGCGGGCCCCCAGGGCGCCGCGACGGGCGACGGGAGGGGGGCGGCGTGCGGGCCCCCAGGGCACCACGACGGGCGACGGGAGGGGGAGGACGCGCGGGCCCCCAGCGCGCCACGACGGGCGACGGGAGGGGTGACGCGCGGGCCCCCAGAGCGCCATGACGGGCGACGGGAGGGAGGCGACGGGAAGGGGGCGACGCGCGGGCCCCCAAGGCGCCACGACGGGCGACGGGAGGGGGGGGACGCGCGGGCCCCCAGGGCGCCGCGACGGGCGACGGGAGGGGCGACGCGCGGGTCCCCGGGGGCGCCGCGACAGAGCATGAAGCCGCCGCGCACTCCCGGGGCGCGCGGCGGGCAGGAAACCGCCACGCGCCCCGAGCGCGTGGCGGGCAGAAAACCGCCACGCGCCGCGAGCGCGTGGCGGGAAGAAAAAACATCGCACGCCATGGGGCGCACGACAGACAGTACAGCAGCGGAAGCATAGGGCGGGCCCACAGGCCAGGAGCGTAACCGCTCTGATACCATGTTGAAATCGTAGCTTCAATGCAGGAGCCATAGTTAGGTTTTGGCTAGCTAGGCAAGAGAGAATAGGCAAAAGAGGGTTTGAACTATGGAATGAGAAGTACAAATAGACAAGAATCATGCAAGGAGTGGTGCACCACCACAGAGAATACCTATGTGACAACACTACAGCTAGAACTACATGCACTTATACAAAATATATTCTGACACAATTTGCTCAAATCGAACGCGCAGACCTGCGCACCAAGCGTCCCACGTGCGATATTGGGGCACCTCCACGAAATACGACGGCGCCCAGGGTCCGGTTTGTCCTTCCCGTGTCGGTAGAGTCGCGTAGTCGTTCGGCTTCGTGACGATGACACGCCACCAATCCATGGCGGGTCCTTGCAGGAGCGACACGGCGTAGCAAATTTTCGCCGTATCCTCCGAGACGTAGTTTGCGTCAAAGAAGACGTTCATCGTGAATAACCACGCCTGAACGGTAGGACCACCCCGTTGACTCGGGTTGAAGCATGGCGGACGCTGCGGCTTTAGCGGCATTGGTGACGGCAGTGCCGAATCGTTGATCGGTGCCGAAATCGTGACGCGAGGCTGGCTTCTGGCCGCATTCGTCGCTTTGGGGTGTGTCGTGTCGTGGTCGTCGTCTCCGTCGTTGCGGGCGACGCCATCACTAGCCGCGCTCGAGGGTTGCCCCACACTTTCGTGCTGCGATTCCTGTGGTGCGAGTTGTTCCGAAGTGCCAGGTGCTTGTGATTGTGCTTGCTGTGCTCTTACGATGTCATTTTGCAGGGACGTGCGTTTCTTCGGAGCTTTCGCGAAGTTGCTGCAGCAGTTCGTTCAGACGCGCCTGCGTGAGGGTGGTGACGTCGATGTGTTCGGCCATGGCGAAGGGCGTCGGCTCGGCTTAGTCTAGGCGCAGTCGTGGCTGCACGCGTTTACGAGAGAACGCGAGGACAGCGGCTCCTAGGGGCTAAGGGCGCGTGTCCTTCGGCGCAGATGGCAAGGTTCATGTTTTTTGTTCGAATTTCAGCAAATGAACATTGGTCGACCTGTAGTCGACTATCTCAACATTTCATTGTCGAACCGCGTGTCCCTTTTCGCGTCAAGCAAGTGGCACAAAAAATGCTCGACTACTGAAGTTCGAGCTTATAGGGCACTCCCCGAGCCGCACTTGACCTTCGTAGGTTACCTGGTTAGGTAACGAAGGCTTTGGTTGTCCAGACGATAGTGATACTTGGCATCGCAGTTTTCGTAGCTTGATCGAGCGTGTGCAAAAGTGCACACGCTCAATAAAACGTACACTCGAACATTCAGGTGTAAGCTCGACCCATGCTCAATGTCCATGTTTGTTTCCTTGATTTAACTTGATGTTGACGATTTTCGCGGACCAAAATAGCGAGATTTACGAAAAATGTTACCACCTAAAGCTTGAGCATTGGTTTGAACGTGGGCCTAAAAGACACGCGCCCTAAGGTGCGTGAGTCCCTTCGAGTGAAAAATCAAAAGTTGATTTCCTGGGGTGCGGAGATGCGCGGTCCGAAAAGGAAAGAAGCTCTGATACCAAGTGTTACGGGTGCAATGGATCGAGGTAACAAGGATTGCACTAATGTGTCAAACGAGTACAAGCTGTGAGCGAATGCATGAGCGAACATTTATACGCGAAACATGCAAACGGTAACGCGGTGCGTGCGAGCTAGCTAGTGCTACGCTGGCAGCGAGGTTCGGGCTAGTCCCGAAACGTACCATATTCTCCCGGACAAAACACCCCCCCATGTTTGAGCACCCCCGGGTAGCTTGTGCGGGGTGGGTGCTATGGGCGACCTCATTTTCACTATACCCCCCTTTTTGGCTGATTCTCTATAAGACCCTGGGGGGGGTGCTATAGTCGGGAAAAACGATAACTTTGTTTACATTTCATACAGGTGACATTACAACAACTACAGAAGTCCTGCGCCAGCACCTTTACATTTACAATGTCACCTAGACTGCATCTCCATAGCCACATGGTCACCACACACTAGACATCAACAACAAGTTCAACTATAGAGATCTCTACTTAGTGCACTTCACTCAGAATCGTCCACAGCATGCCACTCTTCACATTCTTCCCCGTCATAGCGGCCAAGGCGCCACCCCCTTCCTCCTCTGCCGCCGCCGCCTCCGCGTCCTCCTCGGCGGCGTCGTCCTCATGTGCCGCCGCCTGCAGCTCCTCGGCCTACATGGGGACCTCGGCGTAGAAGGGGTTGACGATGAGATCGTCGTCAACCAGGTCGTTGACATCGTCAAGGACCTCCACCTCACTCTTGTCCCGCATGTGGGCAAGGATGAGGTGGTCCTCGCTGCCGTCGATGGGGGTGGAGACCCCGCACGTCACGAACGCTTTCCTCACGAGCTCCTCTGGGATTGCTTCCTAGAACTCATCGATCCAGCGGAGCACCAGCTCCGCTGGCGGCTTCTTGAGGTTGCTTGGGGGACAGGGAAGGCAAGTCATGGACGACGGTGAGCATACAGAGCGCACGATGACACCAATTGAACGGATTGCAAGCGGGACTTAGGACTTAGCGCGTCAACTCACCGGCCTTGGTGGTGAGGTTGATGCCGTCTTCTTCAAACCAGAGACTGTAGCGATGACGAACCCCGCACTTGAACGCGCGGTTCACCGACACATCCAGAGGCTGCACCAGCGGTGTGCAGCCCCCTGGGATGACAGCGCGGGACAGCCGAAACATGCGCATGGTCTGCCTGACCGCCTTGGTCAAATGGCCGTGGTAGGAGTCGAGCACAACCAAGCCCCCCCGCAGCGTCCGGTTGTCTCACGCAGGGGCTTTAGAAACGGCACCATCACCAGCAACACAAGCGCGTCAGTTTCGGTTGCGACGCTAGACAGGCGAGTGCACGGACAAGTCGTAATCGCGTGGTACTTACCGGCAGGGATGGCCACCTTTGGGATGGTCTTGCGCTTGAAAACCACGTACGGCGGAAGCTTGAGGCCGCTCGCTGTTACTGCCAGCATGACAGTAACACGCTCCTTCTCATAGCCCGCACTCCATACGTGGACCGCGCGTGCTCCCTTCATCTCGAGCGTGCGCTCCGCCGGCATCTCCAGGAACGGCGGCGTCTAGTCCGCGTTCACTATGAGATCGAGCGGGTAGTCATGGAGAGAGCGCATCTGGCGCACGAACTCTTAGAACGACTCCACCTTGGCCTTGCAATCTGCGGGCAGAGCAACGAGAAACATTAGAGAAACATTAGAGAACAATTGCCACGGGTTAACCACTCCATGAGCTTTACATTAGCTGCAAGTCGGCCCACACATCACTTACCCGCGGCCAGCTTCTGTCCCATCTTCGTCTTCACCCGCCTCGCCAAATGCCAGCGCGCGCGGAAACGAGTCGCCCACCGGAACGAAGCGCGCCAGTTGACCCCGGGCATCCGGTGCTTCATGTACTTGGCGCTCCACTTCTGGAGCATGCTGACCGTGACGGCAAGGCCCTTCGCCCGGTGCTTCAAGAAGTGGCGGTAGACCGCGCGTTCCATGAACGGGTACTTGGACTTGCGCCCGTGCCCCATGAGACGACGGCGGCAGCTGGAAGCGACCTCCAGCCGCTCCCTCATCTTCTTCCATTCGCTGATCTGGCAGGGCTGCACCTTCGCGAGTTTCGCCAGGGCGCGATTGGAGAGGTCGGGCTGATTGTCCTGCATCTTCAACTAGTGGAGTTTCTCCTTCGCGGTGATGGCGTTCCACTGGCGTTTCGTCATGCGGTGGCGAGGGCTTGGCGGGGCAGCATCGGCGTTGCGCTTGATCTGTCCCTGCGGGCGGTTACGCTCAGCAAAGGTGGGGACAACCACACGAGGAAGAGGCGGGCGAGGAAGGTTAGAGCTAGTGCTCGGTTCATCCCGAGCAGAAGCACTACCGGGAGCATCCGGCAAGGGCAAGATAGGGCGAGGAGACGTCCTTGCGCGTGCAGCAGCGCCGCTCTGAACGGTAAAATGGCGATGTCGCCTTTCAACGGTACTGCTAGAGTCTGGAGATGACGCCATGCTAGGCTACTACAGGGGGATGAAGTCACTCGCCATGGCGGACGAGATTTTAAACTTGAAAGAAGCACCACCAAAAGGAGTCGCTCTCACAGCTAGCCGAGCTCTTGTCAAAGAGGTGCACTGGAGCCGCTTGGTTGAAGAAGAGGTGAGGGCCATGTGAGGAGGCCTTGACGTGACCAAACGGATGGCAAGAAGTCACAGGTACAGTAACCTCTCAGCACCGTGCGCGACTCGGGCCATGTACAACACTATACTGTGCATGAACCCAAGCTGCGCAATGTTGGCATTGCTGTCATCGAAGCTGCCTCAATTGGCCCACTGGAATTTGCCATGTGGCAGATTCCAGTGGGGGGTGTTGTTATAATCGAGGACTCGGTTTTGCGCCCCCATTCAACAAAGTAAGAGTGAGGACAGAATACTATTTTTGTTTCCTTTCATTTCTGCTAAAAAAAAATGTTCAAAATAGTAAGACACAGATATTATGTAGCTTTTTCCTATGAGAAGACACCCCCCTTTTTTTCCCTGTATTTTTAAATCTACCCTAGGGTGTTATGTCCGGGAGAATACGGTAGGCCAACACGGCCGGGCCAGCAGTGCGTGGTTTGGCAAAACAGTGCGCAAAGTTGGCGAAGCCCCGTTATCAGTAACGGGCGAACAACGGCTGCTGCTGTACGCGATGTTGCAGGTCACGGTCGAGAAAATTCCTTACAAATGCATACCGTACCACATTGTATGCAAACGTTCGACAGTCTGAACCTTTTCAAGTGTTCACATCACAAACTTGTAACTTTGAAGCAATTAGGGTTCACAAAATGGGAATTCTGAAAAAAAACCAAGAATCATTGGAAAAATTGTCTGAAATTCAGACACTGTTAGTAAAGTAGTTGTCTGATAACGTCAGCCCCCTAAGCCTGACTTTCTCTCAAATTGTTGTTGGGAAGGGAAATGCTGTGAGTTGTACAAACAAAAAACTGTTGAATTTAGAAGGGCGATGAGCTTTTATAATTCACGGCGGTCACTGAAGTCTTGCGAATTCCTGATTCCTGCACTACCTAGGTAGCATAAAACAACAAATAATAATGCATGTTGCAGTGAAAATATGAAGATGTGTGCTATAAACTATAGAATAATATAGAAAGAACACGTCGCGATACCATCCCCAAGTCAGAACAGGCTCGCAAACCACAAGCGCATCACTGACACCCGAATCTCACGGCCCCAGCTCTCTCGTTCCTCCCCGTTCGTTCATCAACTCGATCTGCCACACTACACGCGTCGCCTACCCTACGCCTTTGTTGCCACTCGGCTGTCCCTGGGTTACGTGCCCAAGCGTCGCCGAAGTAGTTCGCCTTCGCATCGAGGTGTGTCGCAGCAGTCGCAAGAGCTGTCGCACGACGACAGCGCGACGCTCGTAGCCGTAGCATCTCTTTCACCACCATGCGTTGTCGCGATGCACCATCGCTTCGACCATGCTGAGTGCCGCCCTAGTTGCCTCGCTTTACTACGAATCCCATCCGCACCGAGTTTCGCGCAGTAACCGTACGTTCCGCCATGGGGCGGCGCATGGCGGCGCTCCGATGCGCGCCGTGCGGTTGGAGGCGAGTCTTGGCCGGGGGGGTGCTGATGGCGCTCGCGCTGATTGCGCTCGATATCGCGACCGACTATGACGAGGACGACGATGCGGGCTTGCGACCACGTGGCCTGCTATTCGATGACCTGGATGATGGCGGCCCGGATGATCTCTGGACGTTGGAGACGAAGATGAGCCGTGGATGCGCCCCAGGGACGAGATCTAACGGTTGCGAGCGCGTGGACGCTGTAGTCGTTGCGGATGTGCGTGTCAGCTCCATGTGATTTCGCATCCCTCACCGTCATCCTTCTCCCCCCTTATGGCAGCATACGTTCCTCCATATGGCAGCATACGTTCCTCCATATGGCAGCATACGTTCCTCCATATGCCAGCATACGTTCCTCCATATGCCAGCATACGTTCCTCCATATGCCAGCATACGTTCCTCCATATGCCAGCATACGTTCCTCCATATGCCAGCATACGTTCCTCCATATGGCAGCATACGTTCCTCCATATGCCAGCATACGTTCCTCCATATGCCAGCATACGTTCCTCCATATGCCAGCATACGTTCCTCCATATGCCAGCATACGTTCCTCCATATGCCAGCATACGTTCCTCCATATGGCAGCATACGTTCCTCCATATGCCAGCATACGTTCCTCCAAATGCCAGCATACGTTCCTCCATATGCCAGCATACGTTCCTCCATATGCCAGCATACGTTCCTCCATATGCCAGCATACGTTCCTCCATACGCCAGCATACGTTCCTCTATATGCCAGCATACGTTCCTCCATATGCCAGCATACGTTCCTCCATATGCCAGCATACGTTCCTCCATGTGCCAGCATACGTTCCTCCATATGCCAGCATACGTTCCTCCATATGCCAGCATACGTTCCTCCATATGCCAGCATACGTTCCTCCATATGCCAGCATACGTTCCTCCATATGCCAGCACACGTTCCTCCATATGCCAGCATACCTTCCTCCATATGCCAGCATACCTTCCTCCATATGCCAGCATACCTTCCTCCATATGCCAGCATACCTTCCTCCATATGCCAGCATACCTTCCTCCATATGCCAGCATACCTTCCTCCATATGCCAGCATACCTTCCTCCATATGCCAGCATACCTTCCTCCATATGCCAGCATACCTTCCTCCATATGCCAGCATACCTTCCTCCATATGCCAGCATACCTTCCTCCATATGCCAGCATACCTTCCTCCATATGCCAGCATACCTTCCTCCATATGCCAGCATACCTTCCTCCATATGCCAGCATACCTTCCTCCATATGCCAGCATACCTTCCTCCATATGCCAGCATACCTTCCTCCATATGCCAGCATACCTTCCTCCATATGCCAGCATACCTTCCTCCATATGCCAGCATACCTTCCTCCATATGCCAGCATACCTTCCTCCATATGCCAGCATACCTTCCTCCATATGCCAGCATACCTTCCTCCATATGCCAGCATACCTTCCTCCATATGCCAGCATACCTTCCTCCATATGCCAGCATACCTTCCTCCATATGCCAGCATACCTTCCTCCATATGCCAGCATACCTTCCTCCATATGCCAGCATACCTTCCTCCATATGCCAGCATACCTTCCTCCATATGCCAGCATACCTTCCTCCATATGCCAGCATACCTTCCTCCATATGCCAGCATACCTTCCTCCATATGCCAGCATACCTTCCTCCATATGCCAGCATACCTTCCTCCATATGCCAGCATACCTTCCTCCATATGCCAGCATACCTTCCTCCATATGCCAGCATACCTTCCTCCATATGCCAGCATACCTTCCTCCATATGCCAGCATACCTTCCTCCATATGCCAGCATACCTTCCTCCATATGCCAGCATACCTTCCTCCATATGCCAGCATACCTTCCTCCATATGCCAGCATACCTTCCTCCATATGCCAGCATACCTTCCTCCATATGCCAGCATACCTTCCTCCATATGCCAGCATACCTTCCTCCATATGCCAGCATACCTTCCTCCATATGCCAGCATACCTTCCTCCATATGCCAGCATACCTTCCTCCATATGCCAGCATACCTTCCTCCATATGCCAGCATACCTTCCTCCATATGCCAGCATACCTTCCTCCATATGCCAGCATACCTTCCTCCATATGCCAGCATACCTTCCTCCATATGCCAGCATACCTTCCTCCATATGCCAGCATACCTTCCTCCATATGCCAGCATACCTTCCTCCATATGCCAGCATACCTTCCTCCATATGCCAGCATACCTTCCTCCATATGCCAGCATACCTTCCTCCATATGCCAGCATACCTTCCTCCATATGCCAGCATACCTTCCTCCATATGCCAGCATACCTTCCTCCATATGCCAGCATACCTTCCTCCATATGCCAGCATACCTTCCTCCATATGCCAGCATACCTTCCTCCATATGCCAGCATACCTTCCTCCATATGCCAGCATACCTTCCTCCATATGCCAGCATACCTTCCTCCATATGCCAGCATACCTTCCTCCATATGCCAGCATACCTTCCTCCATATGCCAGCATACCTTCCTCCATATGCCAGCATACCTTCCTCCATATGCCAGCATACCTTCCTCCATATGCCAGCATACCTTCCTCCATATGCCAGCATACCTTCCTCCATATGCCAGCATACCTTCCTCCATATGCCAGCATACCTTCCTCCATATGCCAGCATACCTTCCTCCATATGCCAGCATACCTTCCTCCATATGCCAGCATACCTTCCTCCATATGCCAGCATACCTTCCTCCATATGCCAGCATACCTTCCTCCATATGCCAGCATACCTTCCTCCATATGCCAGCATACCTTCCTCCATATGCCAGCATACCTTCCTCCATATGCCAGCATACCTTCCTCCATATGCCAGCATACCTTCCTCCATATGCCAGCATACCTTCCTCCATATGCCAGCATACCTTCCTCCATATGCCAGCATACCTTCCTCCATATGCCAGCATACCTTCCTCCATATGCCAGCATACCTTCCTCCATATGCCAGCATACCTTCCTCCATATGCCAGCATACCTTCCTCCATATGCCAGCATACCTTCCTCCATATGCCAGCATACCTTCCTCCATATGCCAGCATACCTTCCTCCATATGCCAGCATACCTTCCTCCATATGCCAGCATACCTTCCTCCATATGCCAGCATACCTTCCTCCATATGCCAGCATACCTTCCTCCATATGCCAGCATACCTTCCTCCATATGCCAGCATACCTTCCTCCATATGCCAGCATACCTTCCTCCATATGCCAGCATACCTTCCTCCATATGCCAGCATACCTTCCTCCATATGCCAGCATACCTTCCTCCATATGCCAGCATACCTTCCTCCATATGCCAGCATACCTTCCTCCATATGCCAGCATACCTTCCTCCATATGCCAGCATACCTTCCTCCATATGCCAGCATACCTTCCTCCATATGCCAGCATACCTTCCTCCATATGCCAGCATACCTTCCTCCATATGCCAGCATACCTTCCTCCATATGCCAGCATACCTTCCTCCATATGCCAGCATACCTTCCTCCATATGCCAGCATACCTTCCTCCATATGCCAGCATACCTTCCTCCATATGCCAGCATACCTTCCTCCATATGCCAGCATACCTTCCTCCATATGCCAGCATACCTTCCTCCATATGCCAGCATACCTTCCTCCATATGCCAGCATACCTTCCTCCATATGCCAGCATACCTTCCTCCATATGCCAGCATACCTTCCTCCATATGCCAGCATACCTTCCTCCATATGCCAGCATACCTTCCTCCATATGCCAGCATACCTTCCTCCATATGCCAGCATACCTTCCTCCATATGCCAGCATACCTTCCTCCATATGCCAGCATACCTTCCTCCATATGCCAGCATACCTTCCTCCATATGCCAGCATACCTTCCTCCATATGCCAGCATACCTTCCTCCATATGCCAGCATACCTTCCTCCATATGCCAGCATACCTTCCTCCATATGCCAGCATACCTTCCTCCATATGCCAGCATACCTTCCTCCATATGCCAGCATACCTTCCTCCATATGCCAGCATACCTTCCTCCATATGCCAGCATACCTTCCTCCATATGCCAGCATACCTTCCTCCATATGCCAGCATACCTTCCTCCATATGCCAGCATACCTTCCTCCATATGCCAGCATACCTTCCTCCATATGCCAGCATACCTTCCTCCATATGCCAGCATACCTTCCTCCATATGCCAGCATACCTTCCTCCATATGCCAGCATACCTTCCTCCATATGCCAGCATACCTTCCTCCATATGCCAGCATACCTTCCTCCATATGCCAGCATACCTTCCTCCATATGCCAGCATACCTTCCTCCATATGCCAGCATACCTTCCTCCATATGCCAGCATACCTTCCTCCATATGCCAGCATACCTTCCTCCATATGCCAGCATACCTTCCTCCATATGCCAGCATACCTTCCTCCATATGCCAGCATACCTTCCTCCATATGCCAGCATACCTTCCTCCATATGCCAGCATACCTTCCTCCATATGCCAGCATACCTTCCTCCATATGCCAGCATACCTTCCTCCATATGCCAGCATACCTTCCTCCATATGCCAGCATACCTTCCTCCATATGCCAGCATACCTTCCTCCATATGCCAGCATACCTTCCTCCATATGCCAGCATACCTTCCTCCATATGCCAGCATACCTTCCTCCATATGCCAGCATACCTTCCTCCATATGCCAGCATACCTTCCTCCATATGCCAGCATACCTTCCTCCATATGCCAGCATACCTTCCTCCATATGCCAGCATACCTTCCTCCATATGCCAGCATACCTTCCTCCATATGCCAGCATACCTTCCTCCATATGCCAGCATACCTTCCTCCATATGCCAGCATACCTTCCTCCATATGCCAGCATACCTTCCTCCATATGCCAGCATACCTTCCTCCATATGCCAGCATACCTTCCTCCATATGCCAGCATACCTTCCTCCATATGCCAGCATACCTTCCTCCATATGCCAGCATACCTTCCTCCATATGCCAGCATACCTTCCTCCATATGCCAGCATACCTTCCTCCATATGCCAGCATACCTTCCTCCATATGCCAGCATACCTTCCTCCATATGCCAGCATACCTTCCTCCATATGCCAGCATACCTTCCTCCATATGCCAGCATACCTTCCTCCATATGCCAGCATACCTTCCTCCATATGCCAGCATACCTTCCTCCATATGCCAGCATACCTTCCTCCATATGCCAGCATACCTTCCTCCATATGCCAGCATACCTTCCTCCATATGCCAGCATACCTTCCTCCATATGCCAGCATACCTTCCTCCATATGCCAGCATACCTTCCTCCATATGCCAGCATACCTTCCTCCATATGCCAGCATACCTTCCTCCATATGCCAGCATACCTTCCTCCATATGCCAGCATACCTTCCTCCATATGCCAGCATACCTTCCTCCATATGCCAGCATACCTTCCTCCATATGCCAGCATACCTTCCTCCATATGCCAGCATACCTTCCTCCATATGCCAGCATACCTTCCTCCATATGCCAGCATACCTTCCTCCATATGCCAGCATACCTTCCTCCATATGCCAGCATACCTTCCTCCATATGCCAGCATACCTTCCTCCATATGCCAGCATACCTTCCTCCATATGCCAGCATACCTTCCTCCATATGCCAGCATACCTTCCTCCATATGCCAGCATACCTTCCTCCATATGCCAGCATACCTTCCTCCATATGCCAGCATACCTTCCTCCATATGCCAGCATACCTTCCTCCATATGCCAGCATACCTTCCTCCATATGCCAGCATACCTTCCTCCATATGCCAGCATACCTTCCTCCATATGCCAGCATACCTTCCTCCATATGCCAGCATACCTTCCTCCATATGCCAGCATACCTTCCTCCATATGCCAGCATACCTTCCTCCATATGCCAGCATACCTTCCTCCATATGCCAGCATACCTTCCTCCATATGCCAGCATACCTTCCTCCATATGCCAGCATACCTTCCTCCATATGCCAGCATACCTTCCTCCATATGCCAGCATACCTTCCTCCATATGCCAGCATACCTTCCTCCATATGCCAGCATACCTTCCTCCATATGCCAGCATACCTTCCTCCATATGCCAGCATACCTTCCTCCATATGCCAGCATACCTTCCTCCATATGCCAGCATACCTTCCTCCATATGCCAGCATACCTTCCTCCATATGCCAGCATACCTTCCTCCATATGCCAGCATACCTTCCTCCATATGCCAGCATACCTTCCTCCATATGCCAGCATACCTTCCTCCATATGCCAGCATACCTTCCTCCATATGCCAGCATACCTTCCTCCATATGCCAGCATACCTTCCTCCATATGCCAGCATACCTTCCTCCATATGCCAGCATACCTTCCTCCATATGCCAGCATACCTTCCTCCATATGCCAGCATACCTTCCTCCATATGCCAGCATACCTTCCTCCATATGCCAGCATACCTTCCTCCATATGCCAGCATACCTTCCTCCATATGCCAGCATACCTTCCTCCATATGCCAGCATACCTTCCTCCATATGCCAGCATACCTTCCTCCATATGCCAGCATACCTTCCTCCATATGCCAGCATACCTTCCTCCATATGCCAGCATACCTTCCTCCATATGCCAGCATACCTTCCTCCATATGCCAGCATACCTTCCTCCATATGCCAGCATACCTTCCTCCATATGCCAGCATACCTTCCTCCATATGCCAGCATACCTTCCTCCATATGCCAGCATACCTTCCTCCATATGCCAGCATACCTTCCTCCATATGCCAGCATACCTTCCTCCATATGCCAGCATACCTTCCTCCATATGCCAGCATACCTTCCTCCATATGCCAGCATACCTTCCTCCATATGCCAGCATACCTTCCTCCATATGCCAGCATACCTTCCTCCATATGCCAGCATACCTTCCTCCATATGCCAGCATACCTTCCTCCATATGCCAGCATACCTTCCTCCATATGCCAGCATACCTTCCTCCATATGCCAGCATACCTTCCTCCATATGCCAGCATACCTTCCTCCATATGCCAGCATACCTTCCTCCATATGCCAGCATACCTTCCTCCATATGCCAGCATACCTTCCTCCATATGCCAGCATACCTTCCTCCATATGCCAGCATACCTTCCTCCATATGCCAGCATACCTTCCTCCATATGCCAGCATACCTTCCTCCATATGCCAGCATACCTTCCTCCATATGCCAGCATACCTTCCTCCATATGCCAGCATACCTTCCTCCATATGCCAGCATACCTTCCTCCATATGCCAGCATACCTTCCTCCATATGCCAGCATACCTTCCTCCATATGCCAGCATACCTTCCTCCATATGCCAGCATACCTTCCTCCATATGCCAGCATACCTTCCTCCATATGCCAGCATACCTTCCTCCATATGCCAGCATACCTTCCTCCATATGCCAGCATACCTTCCTCCATATGCCAGCATACCTTCCTCCATATGCCAGCATACCTTCCTCCATATGCCAGCATACCTTCCTCCATATGCCAGCATACCTTCCTCCATATGCCAGCATACCTTCCTCCATATGCCAGCATACCTTCCTCCATATGCCAGCATACCTTCCTCCATATGCCAGCATACCTTCCTCCATATGCCAGCATACCTTCCTCCATATGCCAGCATACCTTCCTCCATATGCCAGCATACCTTCCTCCATATGCCAGCATACCTTCCTCCATATGCCAGCATACCTTCCTCCATATGCCAGCATACCTTCCTCCATATGCCAGCATACCTTCCTCCATATGCCAGCATACCTTCCTCCATATGCCAGCATACCTTCCTCCATATGCCAGCATACCTTCCTCCATATGCCAGCATACCTTCCTCCATATGCCAGCATACCTTCCTCCATATGCCAGCATACCTTCCTCCATATGCCAGCATACCTTCCTCCATATGCCAGCATACCTTCCTCCATATGCCAGCATACCTTCCTCCATATGCCAGCATACCTTCCTCCATATGCCAGCATACCTTCCTCCATATGCCAGCATACCTTCCTCCATATGCCAGCATACCTTCCTCCATATGCCAGCATACCTTCCTCCATATGCCAGCATACCTTCCTCCATATGCCAGCATACCTTCCTCCATATGCCAGCATACCTTCCTCCATATGCCAGCATACCTTCCTCCATATGCCAGCATACCTTCCTCCATATGCCAGCATACCTTCCTCCATATGCCAGCATACCTTCCTCCATATGCCAGCATACCTTCCTCCATATGCCAGCATACCTTCCTCCATATGCCAGCATACCTTCCTCCATATGCCAGCATACCTTCCTCCATATGCCAGCATACCTTCCTCCATATGCCAGCATACCTTCCTCCATATGCCAGCATACCTTCCTCCATATGCCAGCATACCTTCCTCCATATGCCAGCATACCTTCCTCCATATGCCAGCATACCTTCCTCCATATGCCAGCATACCTTCCTCCATATGCCAGCATACCTTCCTCCATATGCCAGCATACCTTCCTCCATATGCCAGCATACCTTCCTCCATATGCCAGCATACCTTCCTCCATATGCCAGCATACCTTCCTCCATATGCCAGCATACCTTCCTCCATATGCCAGCATACCTTCCTCCATATGCCAGCATACCTTCCTCCATATGCCAGCATACCTTCCTCCATATGCCAGCATACCTTCCTCCATATGCCAGCATACCTTCCTCCATATGCCAGCATACCTTCCTCCATATGCCAGCATACCTTCCTCCATATGCCAGCATACCTTCCTCCATATGCCAGCATACCTTCCTCCATATGCCAGCATACCTTCCTCCATATGCCAGCATACCTTCCTCCATATGCCAGCATACCTTCCTCCATATGCCAGCATACCTTCCTCCATATGCCAGCATACCTTCCTCCATATGCCAGCATACCTTCCTCCATATGCCAGCATACCTTCCTCCATATGCCAGCATACCTTCCCCCATACCTTCCCCCATATGCCAGCATACCTTCCCCCATATGCCAGCATACCTTCCTCCATATGCCAGCATACCTTCCTCCATATGCCAGCATACCTTCCTCCATATGCCAGCATACCTTCCTCCATATGCCAGCATACCTTCCTCCATATGCCAGCATACCTTCCTCCATATGCCAGCATACCTTCCTCCATATGCCAGCATACCTTCCTCCATATGCCAGCATACCTTCCTCCATATGCCAGCATACCTTCCTCCATATGCCAGCATACCTTCCTCCATATGCCAGCATACCTTCCTCCATATGCCAGCATACCTTCCTCCATATGCCAGCATACCTTCCTCCATATGCCAGCATACCTTCCTCCATATGCCAGCATACCTTCCTCCATATGCCAGCATACCTTCCTCCATATGCCAGCATACCTTCCTCCATATGCCAGCATACCTTCCTCCATATGCCAGCATACCTTCCTCCATATGCCAGCATACCTTCCTCCATATGCCAGCATACCTTCCTCCATATGCCAGCATACCTTCCTCCATATGCCAGCATACCTTCCTCCATATGCCAGCATACCTTCCTCCATATGCCAGCATACCTTCCTCCATATGCCAGCATACCTTCCTCCATATGCCAGCATACCTTCCTCCATATGCCAGCATACCTTCCTCCATATGCCAGCATACCTTCCTCCATATGCCAGCATACCTTCCTCCATATGCCAGCATACCTTCCTCCATATGCCAGCATACCTTCCTCCATATGCCAGCATACCTTCCTCCATATGCCAGCATACCTTCCTCCATATGCCAGCATACCTTCCTCCATATGCCAGCATACCTTCCTCCATATGCCAGCATACCTTCCTCCATATGCCAGCATACCTTCCTCCATATGCCAGCATACCTTCCTCCATATGCCAGCATACCTTCCTCCATATGCCAGCATACCTTCCTCCATATGCCAGCATACCTTCCTCCATATGCCAGCATACCTTCCTCCATATGCCAGCATACCTTCCTCCATATGCCAGCATACCTTCCTCCATATGCCAGCATACCTTCCTCCATATGCCAGCATACCTTCCTCCATATGCCAGCATACCTTCCTCCATATGCCAGCATACCTTCCTCCATATGCCAGCATACCTTCCTCCATATGCCAGCATACCTTCCTCCATATGCCAGCATACCTTCCTCCATATGCCAGCATACCTTCCTCCATATGCCAGCATACCTTCCTCCATATGCCAGCATACCTTCCTCCATATGCCAGCATACCTTCCTCCATATGCCAGCATACCTTCCTCCATATGCCAGCATACCTTCCTCCATATGCCAGCATACCTTCCTCCATATGCCAGCATACCTTCCTCCATATGCCAGCATACCTTCCTCCATATGCCAGCATACCTTCCTCCATATGCCAGCATACCTTCCTCCATATGCCAGCATACCTTCCTCCATATGCCAGCATACCTTCCTCCATATGCCAGCATACCTTCCTCCATATGCCAGCATACCTTCCTCCATATGCCAGCATACCTTCCTCCATATGCCAGCATACCTTCCTCCATATGCCAGCATACCTTCCTCCATATGCCAGCATACCTTCCTCCATATGCCAGCATACCTTCCTCCATATGCCAGCATACCTTCCTCCATATGCCAGCATACCTTCCTCCATATGCCAGCATACCTTCCTCCATATGCCAGCATACCTTCCTCCATATGCCAGCATACCTTCCTCCATATGCCAGCATACCTTCCTCCATATGCCAGCATACCTTCCTCCATATGCCAGCATACCTTCCTCCATATGCCAGCATACCTTCCTCCATATGCCAGCATACCTTCCTCCATATGCCAGCATACCTTCCTCCATATGCCAGCATACCTTCCTCCATATGCCAGCATACCTTCCTCCATATGCCAGCATACCTTCCTCCATATGCCAGCATACCTTCCTCCATATGCCAGCATACCTTCCTCCATATGCCAGCATACCTTCCTCCATATGCCAGCATACCTTCCTCCATATGCCAGCATACCTTCCTCCATATGCCAGCATACCTTCCCCCATACCTTCCCCCATATGCCAGCATACCTTCCCCCATATGCCAGCATACCTTCCTCCATATGCCAGCATACCTTCCTCCATATGCCAGCATACCTTCCTCCATATGCCAGCATACCTTCCTCCATATGCCAGCATACCTTCCTCCATATGCCAGCATACCTTCCTCCATATGCCAGCATACCTTCCTCCATATGCCAGCATACCTTCCTCCATATGCCAGCATACCTTCCTCCATATGCCAGCATACCTTCCTCCATATGCCAGCATACCTTCCTCCATATGCCAGCATACCTTCCTCCATATGCCAGCATACCTTCCTCCATATGCCAGCATACCTTCCTCCATATGCCAGCATACCTTCCTCCATATGCCAGCATACCTTCCTCCATATGCCAGCATACCTTCCTCCATATGCCAGCATACCTTCCTCCATATGCCAGCATACCTTCCTCCATATGCCAGCATACCTTCCTCCATATGCCAGCATACCTTCCTCCATATGCCAGCATACCTTCCTCCATATGCCAGCATACCTTCCTCCATATGCCAGCATACCTTCCTCCATATGCCAGCATACCTTCCTCCATATGCCAGCATACCTTCCTCCATATGCCAGCATACCTTCCTCCATATGCCAGCATACCTTCCTCCATATGCCAGCATACCTTCCTCCATATGCCAGCATACCTTCCTCCATATGCCAGCATACCTTCCTCCATATGCCAGCATACCTTCCTCCATATGCCAGCATACCTTCCTCCATATGCCAGCATACCTTCCTCCATATGCCAGCATACCTTCCTCCATATGCCAGCATACCTTCCTCCATATGCCAGCATACCTTCCTCCATATGCCAGCATACCTTCCTCCATATGCCAGCATACCTTCCTCCATATGCCAGCATACCTTCCTCCATATGCCAGCATACCTTCCTCCATATGCCAGCATACCTTCCTCCATATGCCAGCATACCTTCCTCCATATGCCAGCATACCTTCCTCCATATGCCAGCATACCTTCCTCCATATGCCAGCATACCTTCCTCCATATGCCAGCATACCTTCCTCCATATGCCAGCATACCTTCCTCCATATGCCAGCATACCTTCCTCCATATGCCAGCATACCTTCCTCCATATGCCAGCATACCTTCCTCCATATGCCAGCATACCTTCCTCCATATGCCAGCATACCTTCCTCCATATGCCAGCATACCTTCCTCCATATGCCAGCATACCTTCCTCCATATGCCAGCATACCTTCCTCCATATGCCAGCATACCTTCCTCCATATGCCAGCATACCTTCCTCCATATGCCAGCATACCTTCCTCCATATGCCAGCATACCTTCCTCCATATGCCAGCATACCTTCCTCCATATGCCAGCATACCTTCCTCCATATGCCAGCATACCTTCCTCCATATGCCAGCATACCTTCCTCCATATGCCAGCATACCTTCCTCCATATGCCAGCATACCTTCCTCCATATGCCAGCATACCTTCCTCCATATGCCAGCATACCTTCCTCCATATGCCAGCATACCTTCCTCCATATGCCAGCATACCTTCCTCCATATGCCAGCATACCTTCCTCCATATGCCAGCATACCTTCCTCCATATGCCAGCATACCTTCCTCCATATGCCAGCATACCTTCCTCCATATGCCAGCATACCTTCCTCCATATGCCAGCATACCTTCCTCCATATGCCAGCATACCTTCCTCCATATGCCAGCATACCTTCCTCCATATGCCAGCATACCTTCCTCCATATGCCAGCATACCTTCCTCCATATGCCAGCATACCTTCCTCCATATGCCAGCATACCTTCCTCCATATGCCAGCATACCTTCCTCCATATGCCAGCATACCTTCCTCCATATGCCAGCATACCTTCCTCCATATGCCAGCATACCTTCCTCCATATGCCAGCATACCTTCCTCCATATGCCAGCATACCTTCCTCCATATGCCAGCATACCTTCCTCCATATGCCAGCATACCTTCCTCCATATGCCAGCATACCTTCCTCCATATGCCAGCATACCTTCCTCCATATGCCAGCATACCTTCCTCCATATGCCAGCATACCTTCCTCCATATGCCAGCATACCTTCCTCCATATGCCAGCATACCTTCCTCCATATGCCAGCATACCTTCCTCCATATGCCAGCATACCTTCCTCCATATGCCAGCATACCTTCCTCCATATGCCAGCATACCTTCCTCCATATGCCAGCATACCTTCCTCCATATGCCAGCATACCTTCCTCCATATGCCAGCATACCTTCCTCCATATGCCAGCATACCTTCCTCCATATGCCAGCATACCTTCCTCCATATGCCAGCATACCTTCCTCCATATGCCAGCATACCTTCCTCCATATGCCAGCATACCTTCCTCCATATGCCAGCATACCTTCCTCCATATGCCAGCATACCTTCCTCCATATGCCAGCATACCTTCCTCCATATGCCAGCATACCTTCCTCCATATGCCAGCATACCTTCCTCCATATGCCAGCATACCTTCCTCCATATGCCAGCATACCTTCCTCCATATGCCAGCATACCTTCCTCCATATGCCAGCATACCTTCCTCCATATGCCAGCATACCTTCCTCCATATGCCAGCATACCTTCCTCCATATGCCAGCATACCTTCCTCCATATGCCAGCATACCTTCCTCCATATGCCAGCATACCTTCCTCCATATGCCAGCATACCTTCCTCCATATGCCAGCATACCTTCCTCCATATGCCAGCATACCTTCCTCCATATGCCAGCATACCTTCCTCCATATGCCAGCATACCTTCCTCCATATGCCAGCATACCTTCCTCCATATGCCAGCATACCTTCCTCCATATGCCAGCATACCTTCCTCCATATGCCAGCATACCTTCCTCCATATGCCAGCATACCTTCCTCCATATGCCAGCATACCTTCCTCCATATGCCAGCATACCTTCCTCCATATGCCAGCATACCTTCCTCCATATGCCAGCATACCTTCCTCCATATGCCAGCATACCTTCCTCCATATGCCAGCATACCTTCCTCCATATGCCAGCATACCTTCCTCCATATGCCAGCATACCTTCCTCCATATGCCAGCATACCTTCCTCCATATGCCAGCATACCTTCCTCCATATGCCAGCATACCTTCCTCCATATGCCAGCATACCTTCCTCCATATGCCAGCATACCTTCCTCCATATGCCAGCATACCTTCCTCCATATGCCAGCATACCTTCCTCCATATGCCAGCATACCTTCCTCCATATGCCAGCATACCTTCCTCCATATGCCAGCATACCTTCCTCCATATGCCAGCATACCTTCCTCCATATGCCAGCATACCTTCCTCCATATGCCAGCATACCTTCCTCCATATGCCAGCATACCTTCCTCCATATGCCAGCATACCTTCCTCCATATGCCAGCATACCTTCCTCCATATGCCAGCATACCTTCCTCCATATGCCAGCATACCTTCCTCCATATGCCAGCATACCTTCCTCCATATGCCAGCATACCTTCCTCCATATGCCAGCATACCTTCCTCCATATGCCAGCATACCTTCCTCCATATGCCAGCATACCTTCCTCCATATGCCAGCATACCTTCCTCCATATGCCAGCATACCTTCCTCCATATGCCAGCATACCTTCCTCCATATGCCAGCATACCTTCCTCCATATGCCAGCATACCTTCCTCCATATGCCAGCATACCTTCCTCCATATGCCAGCATACCTTCCTCCATATGCCAGCATACCTTCCTCCATATGCCAGCATACCTTCCTCCATATGCCAGCATACCTTCCTCCATATGCCAGCATACCTTCCTCCATATGCCAGCATACCTTCCTCCATATGCCAGCATACCTTCCTCCATATGCCAGCATACCTTCCTCCATATGCCAGCATACCTTCCTCCATATGCCAGCATACCTTCCTCCATATGCCAGCATACCTTCCTCCATATGCCAGCATACCTCCTCCCCCATATGCCAGCATACCTTCCCCCATATGCCAGCATACCTTCCTCCATATGCCAGCATACCTTCCTCCATATGCCAGCATACCTTCCTCCATATGCCAGCATACCTTCCTCCATATGCCAGCATACCTTCCTCCATATGCCAGCATACCTTCCTCCATATGCCAGCATACCTTCCTCCATATGCCAGCATACCTTCCTCCATATGCCAGCATACCTTCCTCCATATGCCAGCATACCTTCCTCCATATGCCAGCATACCTTCCTCCATATGCCAGCATACCTTCCTCCATATGCCAGCATACCTTCCTCCATATGCCAGCATACCTTCCTCCATATGCCAGCATAACTTCCCCCATATGCCAGCATACCTTCCTCCATATGCCAGCATACCTTCCTCCATATGCCAGCATACCTTCCTCCATATGCCAGCATACCTTCCTCCATATGCCAGCATACCTTCCTCCATATGCCAGCATACCTTCCTCCATATGCCAGCATACCTCCCTCCTATATGCCAGCATACCTTCCTCCATATGCCACGATACCTTCCTCCATATGCCACCATACCTTCCTCCATATGCCAGCATACCTTCCTCCCCTTCCGCCTCCGCTCGCCCACTCCACTCTGTCCCGCGCCATTCTCTCCCGCGCATTCCTCGCGTTCGTTTCTCTCATCTCGCGTACTCATTTCGTCCACACTCGTCGCGCAGGGCGAGCTGGGCGAGCGGGTGCACGCGGTGTGCGCGGCGTCCGCCATGACGGCGCTGAGCACGCTGCTGACGCTCGCCGTGTGGCCGTCCGACCGCCACATGCCGCACGTCCGCTTCTCCTCCCACCTCTTCTCCCTCACGCGCCGCCAGC